ATGGCATGATACTCCTGATGTCACAATGGTGGTGCTCAAGATGTGCTCAAACAAAGAATCCGCCGTCTAGGATAACATGGCAGAGGCGACCCACGTTCCGATGCGCCCCCCTGAGGCTTACGGGCAGAGCCTGGATGGCCCCCTCAAGTTGAGGCCAGACCCAACAACACTTGCACAATCCCTATTCATAAATCCAAATCCTGCCCATGCATGGCCAAGGGCCAAGCCAAGGCAACTATACTTAGGCAGGGGCATATGAAAGATACCTAAGAAAGTAAAGCTTGCAGATCAGGGTGGCCCAGCAACCACACCATCCTAATAAGGTCAAGGCAAGCCAAATTGAGGGACCCAGCTGTCCCCTCTTACCTTCTAACAGCACATGTGATTTGGACTCTCTTTGGGTTGTGATTGTTAGAGGAACATCTAACCTAAAGAACGTAGAAGGGTGGCTAGAGTGCATCTTTTAGCTTTAACTTGATGTGAATATATTCCATATATATGGTGATTCAGCAGAGCTAGAGTTTGTTGGTTGTGTGTTGGATTCTTGCACATAGAGCATGACATTCGTTCAAAAGTGCAAATTCCTCATTACTGGTGTTTGGGGACATAAAACATGCACCTTTTGCTGGAAAATTCCTTCCTTTAACATTTTTTTTTTCGCATTGCGACCTTGTGGATGAAGTATAATAAGAAGATAATTAGTGGTATTCCTCAAGATGTAAATTCAACTAGCATGCATCCGTCAAGTTTTTATGCACAAAGATTTTGTAAAAACTAAAAAACTATTGTAAGGATACACAGTTTTGGCAACTCACCAGCGTGCCGACATGTTGAGAAGTATTTTCACATGATTGTGACTGTCATTTGAATATATATGCAGTACATTGCGAGAAAGCAACAGCAATGTACACTTAACTTTGGTGTAGTGGTGGACCTATATAGGATATGAGTGTACAGTTGTACCCCCAACCTTTTTTTAGGAAAATAAATACAAAATGTATATTTTTACCGAAAAGAATATTATTTTAGATAATAAAAATTTGTTACATCCCAGCCTCTACCATATAAGACACAAAACTAACTAGTTCTTTAACTGAATAATAAAAGAAGGTAATTGGACAAATCCCCAACCGAAAATAATACTATTATATGTGCATTTGGTATGCATACTATTAGTTGGGTTAAAATGTAGAATATGTTTGTACTCAAAATTGTATTCCAACCCATGCATTCTAAAATCTCACTAGTTTATTAATTATATAAAATATACTTATAGTATATATCTTTGGAAAAAAAATGCCTCAGTTACCTTTTTTCCCTTTTTGTATGATCCCATTTGTTTTGGGATTTATACATCTTCTCCCTGGTGTTGTGAGAGGAGCTGCCGGCTCGCAGTGGTGGTTACGATCTTACAAGGAGAGTAAATTTCACAAAACCCCAAGTATTAGAGTACCCTTTACGTACATAAAACCCCAATTATTGTGATTTATTTCACGAAACCCCATGTTTTGAGCCAAAATGTTTCCAGAAACCTCATATTCATGTAAAATACTTATATTTTATTATTACATAAGATTGTTTTTTTAACATCAATTCACATTAGTTGGCTAAAAGGACATATTCTTCTCGTCTACTTTATTGTTTTTTCTCAATTTTGCACTGAAAAAGCTTAATATAATACCTGCTGATTATAATATAATAATAGGTTAAATATACACATAAATGATCAAAACATGATTATCAACGCTTGTAAAAAAGCAACTAACGTTATATATGTACTTAAAAAGTATCTCATACATTCTTTTTAGAATTATTACAGATAAATATATTAGGCAAATAAACGATGTAAGTTTGTACATGGGTTTTATGAAACATTTTACTTGATCTAAAACCTGGGGTTTCATGAAACAAATTGTAAAACCTATGTTTTTGCGTGACAAAAGCCCTAAAACACGGGGTTTTGTGAAATTTACTCTAAATAATAAGTTCAGTTTCCACTGGAGACATACGTAGGGGGGAATGTCTGGCGAAAGCGAGAATTAACATTGTTCAGCTCAAAATTCTAGAGAAAAGGAGAAACTAGCATATATATGTTGGACTGTTGGCCAGCAGTACTACATCATAGTGATTATGTTGAGTTCAGAACGTCACAATCTAATTGAGGCACGCTAGCTTGTAAAGAGAGAAGATGAAATTTGTGCTGGTCTTGCTTTCGTTGTTAAATTACAGAGGATCCCTACGCCGCTTTTAGTTGCCTTTGTGGACTTTGTACAGCACAGTATAAGCTACGTTGGTAGAGTTATAATGCTGAACACAGTAAGTACTATAGTAGTATAACACAGGTTTGTTTAAAGGTTAAGCAGTTGGTGGTTGAATGACGTACGTGTCTGTTAATAATTTGTTTGCCCACAACTCGACCAGGATAAGACAATTTGGGGATCGTAGTGGAAACTGATGTGCTTCTCTTTCCAGCGTTGAACGAGAAATACACAATCACGGATGTCTGTTCTTATTTGTTTCCGTATTGTCTGTGCGATTTGATGGCCACGAGCCGAGCTCTTTTGGTGATGTTGATCGATATGATGCGCAGCTCGATCACCATTTGATTGGAGAGGAACCTAATCTGTCATACCCCGTTGATCATGGACCTTAGCTCTAAAACTATATGTATATGATGTACTGTATATGTATACAAATTAAACTAGCTAGTATATATGCTAGAAATATTTAAGACGGCAATCGTACGTTGGTCATATTAGTTGAAAGCATCTTAAGTTTGGAAGATATATATATATATATATATATATATATATATATATATATATATATATATATATATATATATATATATATATATATATATATATATATATGAATATATATATATATATATATATATATGAATATATATATATATATATATGAACTTATAAGTATAACGAGATTTTTTTTTCAGGAAACTCATAACTAACTTAACTACTAACGGTTGAAGATAATTAACCATGCATCAGCTAGAGTATACTGTAGCATCCAATTATATAATTTGCACAGTTGAATACTTAGGTAGGATGATGCACATTTTTCTTTATACTAATTAATAATTGGAGGATCTCCTGTAATTAAGAAACAAAGTTAATCCCAAATAAGTAAAAAAGGCTAAAATTTCACACATTAATCAAGAAAAAGAGAAAAATGCTCTTAACTATACGATCAATGTAATTAGCTAGGACTCCCTCCGTCCCAAAATAAGTGGAGTTTTACATTGTTCATGTTCATCATTTGACCGTTCATCTTATTTGAAAATATTTTATAATTAATATTTTTATTGTTATTAGATGATAAAACATGAATAATACTTTATGTGTGACTATTTTTTAAAAAAAATTGTTAAATTTTTTAAATAAGACGGACGGTCAAACGTTGGACACGGATATTCACGACTGCACTTATTTTTGAACGGAGGTTGTAGTATATTCTACAAGTAGCTTGGATCAATCTCTACAATTAGTGTATTATATAGCAGTCTCTAGTCAATATGTTGCATTCAGATTAATTCCATATAAGTTTAGACAGACCGCGGCATGATAAAACAAACAAAATAATCAAACCAGCTTGCACCCGTATATTATATTGAGATAGAGTCTGAATTGATCACAGAAGCTATTTCAAGAAGGCAGTCTATATGTGCATGCTATCCAGCACGCATATATATGTAGTTAGACTTATTGTAAATAATTTGATTAAATACATAAACTTGGTACAAGCATTATAGAGAAAAATTAAATCCAATATGTTTCTACACTCCCCGCAAAAAAATAAATGTTTCTACACTAAACATTTCTGAGTTTATCAAATAAAAGCATGTTGTGCCCATGCAGATCGATGCACAGGTTGATGACTACTACATTCGTTTGATATTATAAGTCGTTTTGAGTTTTTTTAAGTTAAAATTCTTCAAGATTGATCAAGTTTATATAAAAAAATACAGTAACATTTTCAACACAAATCAAATATATTATAAAAATATATCAAAGTTAGTTTTAATGAAACTAATATGGTGTTGTAGATGTATTAAATTTTTCTATAAACTTGATCAAACTTGAAAAAAATAATAAAAAAGAAAAATCAAAACGAATTATAATACTGGTATGAAACAGAGGGAGCATTATATATATAAACATATTGAAGGAATAAAATGGAATGTGTATAATTGATTTGTACCATATATCTATATCCAAAATATATAATTGCCGAAGGACTAGTAGTTAATTAGTAGTACTAGCTAGGCAGACCTAATGAGGGTTAGATGCAAAGCACCAGGTAAAGATTCTTTTGTGATCTGCCTTCTGCTACTTAAGTCATCCTGACAATGTCGTTGCTATCGCTAGAAACATTACAACTATCGCATAAAACCAGCCAATAGTAATCAATGGGCATCTTAGTCATCATGCCATACCTACTCTCTCCTGGAGTCCTGGTCTCTCCTAAACTATAAGGCCTAATTATCTTCTCACCACACAAGTACTACTTAGTAGAGTAATTGCTAACAACACAATTATCAGTTCCATCAAAGCTATAGCATATATAAGCAAAAATGCCAGTGGGTTCTCCACCAGTAAGTACCCCCAATAAAAATATGATTTTTTTCAGACCAATCAACAACAGTGGTTTGCTTCCATACATATACAATTAATTAATTAATACTCCCAAAAGTTCAGTAGTTGCACAAATAATCCTCAAGCTCAGTCAGGCAACGCCAATTAAATTAATGTTACCAAAATCTGCACTTAAAAATTACTGATCAGACTAACAGGGAGCTAGTCAGCTAGCTTAGTCTGATTGGCACCTAACCAACACTACTAGTACTGGCTAAGCTCCCCAAACCAACATTTATCTTTCTTTTTTATATATGTTTTTTTACTATCAGTAAATAATAATCATCCGCAATTAATACTTCCTCTACTCTCCCCTCCACCACTCCACTGGATAGGCACCATCTAATTCTACTAGAGCTTGAGAGGACATTCTTTCTTCTTCCCCTTCCCTACCTAGGCCAACCCTTCTCCTATAAGTACAACCCCTCACAAGGACATGAGTGTGCAAGCATGGTTTAATTGTTGTTGCCTCCTCTCAAGCTAGCTAGCTATACTACTCCGATCCTCTCTCGCTTATTGAAACCTAGCTACTGCTTCACATGTAGCGCGTGCTGCAACTCGTGTTGTGTCACTCACACACACATCCAAGAACCAAGATTCCGAGGTAACCAACGCTCGATCTTTTACTTACCCTATCTCCCGACGATCGATCGATCGATCGATGGAGGGGAGCAGTAATAGCCCGGATAGGCAGTCGTCGGGCGGCAGCCCGCCGGAGGAGCGCGGCGGCGGGGGAAGCGGTGGAGGAGGAGGGCGGAGCGCCGCCGGCGAGCCGGTGCGGTCGCGGTGGACGCCCAAGCCGGAGCAGATACTGATCCTGGAGTCCATCTTCAACAGCGGCATGGTCAACCCGCCCAAGGACGAGACCGTCCGCATCCGCAAGCTGCTCGAGAGGTTCGGCGCCGTCGGCGACGCCAACGTCTTCTACTGGTTCCAGAACCGCCGCTCGCGCTCGCGCCGCCGCCAGCGCCAGATGCAGGCGGCCGCCGCCGCCGCCGCAGCGGCGGCCTCTTCCTCTTCCCCATCCGCCAACACCTCTCCCGCAGCCGCGAGCGCCGCCACCGTGCAGGTGGGCCTCCCGCCCGGCGCCGTCGTCCACACCATGGCCATGGGTGGGAGCGCGTGCCAGTACGAGCAGCAGGCGAGCTCGTCGTCGTCGTCCGGCAGCACGGGAGGTTCGTCGCTGGGGCTGTTCGCGCACGGCGCGGGGGCCTCCGGCGCCGGCGGGTACCTGCAGGCGTCGTGCGGCGCGTCCGCGTCGGCGTCGTCGGCGCTGGCGCCCGGGCTGATGGGGGATGTGGTGGACAGCGGGGGAAGCGACGATCTCTTCGCCATCTCGAGGCAGATGGGGTTTGTGGGGAGCCCTCGCTGCTCGCCGGCCAGCTCGCCGGCGACGCCGAGCTCCGCGGCCACCGCCGCGCAGCAGCAGTTCTACTCATGCCAATTACCTGCAGGTGAGTTGATCAGTTACCACATCAATCTTGGTTTTGGCCATTGCTAATTTGCTATTTCTTCCCTTCAATATTTGGTTGGTTAGCTACTCAGTACTCACCGATCAATCTCGTATTCTCATGCATGTGTTTCCCATGTCTCGATCGCTTAAGGGATTAGGTTATTTATTAATTTGTTCATCTTTTCATCGAAATGGCTCTAATCTTAACACACTTACTCTTGTGATTTTACAAGTTATTGTGATTTCTACTACTATACTGCATATATCACCTGATCGAAGAAACTTATGAAGGTGTAAATATGCTGATCATTTCACCACTAAAATTTTGTCTGTTTGTATTGTAGTGCTGCAGAATTCAAGGAGATCTAGTTTGGATCTTTTGCGTGTGCATACTTTATTTGGCCTTCCATATAATTAATTGTGTCAGTTCTTGTTCTTTAGCTCTTCACTATACTATTTCGGTTACAACTTACACTTCCTAGCTAGTGTACCGGCACATAAGATCATACTACATAATAATTCACCATGCATGACACTTTCCTTTTGAAAGATCACAATGATATGTTCCTACGTTTTGCGAAGCCTTGCTCTTGTGTCTAGCTATGTTCTTAATTACTTGTACGGTGTATTCCAGACTGAATTGTACAATTTTCAAAATTTTAGGGAGCCTTGCCTGGTGTTAATGATATGCATACACTAGAAAGTACTCCCTCCATCTCAAAATATAAGAATCTAGTAATGGATGGAACATATCCTACTTCGAATCTGGATAGATAGTCTATCCAAATTCGTAGTATTAGAATGTGTCTCATCTAGTATTATGTTGCTATATTATAGGACGGAGGAAATACTCCTATAATTCTAGGATGTATCATACAATTTTAAAAATTAACCAATACCCAAAAATGAGAATTACAAAATAAACACATTAGTAATTTTCCATAGATTCTAAGCATGCATGCACCCACCCAACTGTCTTCAGATTCTTCTCACCGTGTATATGTTTTTTTTGTCAATTATATCCATTTGAAGCTCCATGTAGCACACAATAGAGTTAGCACACATGTTTATGCATGATCCAATCATTTGATGCCTGTATGTCAAATAGTAAATTAATTTTGGCAATGTAACTTTGGTTACATTATTATGATTTACTAAATGCATGCATGCATGAGCAATCCATCCTACTTTGGTAATTTTTCTTGCTTTCTTACTGACATGTTATATGTACAATCTATCATCAATTAATTTACCAACTAGCTACTTAATTCTGAGCTAAAAACAAGCCACAGTATAATTCATGCATGTCGCATGCATGCAAATGTGTGTAATGCCCATGCATGCTATTGCAGATGGAGCAACAATATAATTTCAGAATATCCTCTCATGCATTTGCAGAACTCTTATTGGAATCAAATAGACTAGGTGCATATGCCAATATGATAAAGGATTAGAGGTCCCAAAGTCCCAACTCCCAACTGGGGAGTAAACGGTAGTACCGAGTACCGACCAACTAATTAACGATATTGATAATCTCATCATTGGATAATTTGTTTGGCTAGCTTCTGCATCTGTTTGTTGCTAATTTTGTCGTCAATGAGCTGTTGATATTTCTTGTGAGTGGATTATATATATGCTGGCTAGATGCTGATTGGTTGCTGGTTTGATTGCCTGCTAATTCCAGCGACGATCACGGTGTTCATCAACGGAGTCCCAATGGAGATGCCGAGGGGTCCAATAGACTTGCGAGCCATGTTCGGCCAGGATGTGATGCTCGTCCACTCTACTGGGGCCCTCCTCCCAGTCAACGACTATGGAATCCTAATGCAGAGCCTCCAAATCGGAGAGAGCTACTTTCTGGTAACCATCCATCTCCAAGCTCTTACTAGCTGGTCTCATCGCTCTCTCTCTACTCCGATCAGTCAATGCAGTTTCGTCTTCATGAAAGCACCACATTTTTAGGCATGCATTCATGCTTATATATGTGTATCATGTTTGAATGTGCAAAACTAATTACTATTAATTTAATTAATTGCATGCATGTTTGTGTGAATTGTGAAATGCATAGCTAGCTATTGTTGTGATCTTCTTAATTTCCTGCTTAATGAGGAGTACATTTATATGTGTGTATGTGTGTTTCTGATCATCTTCAATGTGTTGTGTTTCCTGATCGACAGGTCGCTAGGCCACCTTAAAAACGAGTTCTCGATCTATCCTTGCAGTAGATAGTCAGATATATATCTCTACTCGATACTCATTGGATCAGATGCATGAGCCGGCCGGGGTGCAGCTAGTTCTCAGTTAATCATCAATCAAGAATGCTGTCTTGGATTCAAGACCTTGGAGTATGTCTAAATCGATCAATCGTCTATCGAGAACAAGACTATATATATTAGCTAGGTACGAGAAGCAAATTAATGCATGCATTGCAGCATATCGATCGGCAAAAGTACAACTACGTACTTATATATATGCCCCTTAATTAAAAACCTATGAAAGCGTGGGCGGTCGAGTTTGTTGTCCTTAGAATACAGATTACAATATGGTCGCGTCTCTTCTCATCATTTTCACAATTCCATTACAATATGCATGTATGCATGCCTGCCCTTGGCAGTCGAGCTATATATATTCTTTAATTTGTGCTAGCTATAGATGCACGTTTGTATTGTTTTTTTTTACCGTGTGATGTAATGCTATATGTGTCAGCCAAACGCGCCTGGAATGTTGGTGCTTGATTCAAGGCCGGTTGGAATTTAAACTACCATTTTTCTTTGTACTTAATTTGTCTTTAGCGTGCAGCTAGCCGTGCATATGTCGGCAAAGGCTTGACTCCTTTTCACTCTACAGCTAAGCTATCAATGTTCAAGTGTATACTATATATGATATCAACAATATATTGAGTAGTGAAGATTCTAATGTTTGTATGCATCATGCATATTTCAAATAATGTTCAGGTGTAGGGTTTGTTGCACCAGGGTATGTGTGTGTATGACCAATAGTGCAGACCATATGGCCCATATGCATGCATATATACATGAAACAAACACTAGTGATCACCAAAAAGTTTTGGTGTTATATATACAGTGCAAGAAAATTTGTAGTCGATCGATGGAGCCAAACAACGCCGGGTGGCCGCGACTAAAAAAAAGTAAGAAGCACTCGAGCACATGATCGTACTTGGTGTCGTCTCATCATCCAGCATGGTTTCCACGAAGCTTAGTCCATGTTACACTTTTGCTAAGCAAAAGGTTAAGGCTTCAATTCCTTTGGCTAATCCTCCCCCTGATGTTTCCCCTTTTAAATTGTTCCCCGTCTAGGTGTCAAGCACATGCATGTTGCACATGAACTCACATGCCTGCAGGAGATCACCACAAATATCATAATGTTTTTTGTTTCACACTCCGGCCCGTCGTCGCATGCATGCATGAGGGGATCAAAATTGATAAATACTCTCAGGTAGTATGTACTTTTCGCAATTATGTCACTGATTCGCAGCGACGGGTACCGGTGCATTGAACATTGCTGCAATATAATGTGATGCGATCGATGAGCAGGTTAAGAAGTGGTTAATTAACCGATTTCAATTCCGGACGGGACGCGATCTGTATACGTGCAGGTGCAGCGGCCGTGGGCGAAATCAGGACGTGTCAAGCCCCAGCGCGCGCGGCCGGCGCCGCACGCGCGCGTGCTGGTCGCTGGCCGGCACGGCATGGGATGCGCCTGTGCAGTGGCGCACCCGGCGGCCCGCATCGCCACCGCCCCATGTAGCCTATCGCGACGGGAATCGCGTCGGTTTCCTGCGATTGTTTCGGGCCGCCCCGCACGACGGTTTTTGGGCGTTTTCTGCTGGCGAACACGCGGTTTTGGAGCCTTGGATCTGGTGGGTAAATTAAAACTAGCTCGTATATATGTATGATTAAACCAAATCTGCTCCTTGGAAGTACAATGTGCGTTGCATGCGGTTGGGTTAGTTAAAGGTTAAGCTAAAATCTACATAGGATCTGCGAATTTATCCTAAGCTGTGAGGAGATCGATGACGAGATGTCGATCGGGTGTCATATCATGTTCTCTGGTACCCATCATCCTTCCTAGCTTTCCTTCCTCGTCTTGCCAAATTAAGTTTGGCGTTCTCTAGCTACCAAAGGCAGCTGGGCCTTGTGGAATAAAGGCATTTCCGCCATCCCAAGCAAGCGAGTCAAATTATTTTAGACTATTCTCTCGGTTGCTTTGAATAGTCACCAGAATTCAGATTTTTATTTTTCATGCATGCATGTATACCGATGTACCAGCTGTCAGCCTGTCGAACTGCTTGCCTAACATTGAGATCGGTCACTCTCGCGATCCGTCCGACTGGTCTTAGTTTGTGCATACAACAATAATGCACAACATATGTCCTGCATCACAAACGATGAGATTAATTGTCGTGGCCCTTATACCTGTAGATTTTGATTCTTTTGATGAGAAGCCAGAAATGATCACTGTAACTAGTACTGTATGTCTGTATCTATCTTCTCTCTAGATCAATGTGCGTATTGAACATCGGTGCAGATATATAGATGCTGGGTGAAGAACAACTGAACATTGAGCACGCTATAGCTAGAGTACTGTTATTTATCTCTTCTCTAGAAGCATATCCCTAACTACTCCTGCAGTGACCAATCTGAATGCCAGAAGTAATATTAAGTTCCATTTGGAGGACAAGCTAGGACAAAGTAATGAAAGTGCAAAGCAGGAGTCTGACGTAGCAAGCCGAAAAGGAGCGATGCTAGTTGCCATCCTACATTACCTTCGCTAGCTATCTCATCTCCGAAGAACTTAATTAGAGTACTTAGCTAGTGAATCATAAAGTGTGCTTTACGACTTGAGCGGCTTGATAAGAAATTAAGATGCTGACAGGAAAGCATCATGCGAGAGGATGATGATCGATGGAGCTTGGATAATACGCATTAAGCGAACTGATGTGTGGACTAATCGCACTGCAGAGTTCGCAGAGTGGCCAAGTCAAGCGTAGGTAGAGTAGTCTATTCCAAAGTAGCATTTGAAAGAAAAGCACCAGGGGTTATCATCCATGCCGGATCGAGAGTGAGTGCGTGCAGAATTAGGCAGCCAAATTCTGCAACGACCTGCAGTTGCGGTACAGCTAAACTGAAGAGGACCCTAAGCTCATAGACGGCCTACCTCCTGTGTGAGATGAATAATCTTTTGTCAATACTTGCCAGTTGCATCGGCCTTTTTTTCTGGCTGGGTTAGCGTAGCATTTGACACAATTCTACTACTAGATTGGTAGCTTGGTGAATGTTTTTGGTAGAGCCGGGACAGCGGTACGAATGCAGAGCTAACTGACGGCCGGTGTACGCTGCATGCCGCTGCGCATGATCAGCGACATCTATCTCTGCATGATTAACTGGTACGTGGTGCTCAGATGGATCATGTCTTGGCGTGGTGTGTGTATCCAGGTTGGTTCGTAGGTTAGCTCGCACATGATCCTGGCCATGTGATTGAAATGCACAGGAGGATTAACAGAATTTTGCGGCGCTAATGCTGGGAACCTAGCTATAGTTGGGCACTGAATCTGAGTCGGTGTATCGGTCAGTTCGGAAAGCAGAGTAACATGCTGGAGCTTTTTTTTTTCTTGAAACCCCATATTGTACTTAGATCATCCTTAAACACTGAATTATTTAATTATTCCCTATGCTTTAAATATAATAATATTTAACTATATATAAGTATATATTCAAATATACAACTAAAAGACTAGTATATTTTAAAATGGATGTAGTAATTCAACTATACATTTGATTATTTTTACTCAAGAGAAGGAAGGAACTACCGAACTGATGAGCTAAAATATGGAGATAAAAGTTCACTTTTTGTATCTCATCTAAGGGCATGTTGACTGGTCCTCATCCAATATGACGCTTCAAGCCTACATGGGCTGAAAAGGTGGGCCAAATTCTCTTCAAGGCCCAGCTTAGTACAGAAAGGACAAATGGGCCAGCACCAGAAGCTACCTCATGCTGGCCTTCTAGCAACCGGCGGCCCTCAAAAAAAAAGAAAGAAAGAAAGAAAGATAGAAAGAAATGCAACACCGGCGGCGGCGCGGCGGCTCTCCCTCCCAGGGTAGCGGAGGAGGCGGCTGTGTAGGGGCGGCGAGCTAGGGGAGGGGCCACTTGCTACCTCACCATGGAGCTCGACGCCGCCGCTGGGAGATTCCTCGCCGGGAGATCGATGCCGTCGCGCAGCCCACCGGTGCGTGTTTTTCCTTCTTTTTTTGTTATTATTTGTTTGGGAGCCCTATTTGTTTCCAGATTCGATTTGGTTTTCTGTATTTCTTTCCCGGATACAATACAATCATACAAGTGCTAGACCGATGGTTATAATCAGCGTTACACTGATGAAACAGAAACACCAAATGAAGCATCTGAAGCTCTCTCTGATGCTTTGTGCTACAGTTAAATTTAGGCTAGCTGCACCCAACTAATCGGTAGCCATCGTTTATATCCAAGTCTAGTAATGTAGTTAATCATTGGATTTGTATCTGGGCATCGCGCTCTCGGATTGCCATCGCAAATATGGTCATGACGAAAGAAATTAAGACGGTTGTGCTTCAGGATGCAGTAATCGTTAATTTCTGGAGGAGAGTCAAGAGTGTAAGGAAGATGCGTAAGTCCACCCTCCGCAGTCTCGTGGATCGATAAATTCCAGAGTCTAAGCATGACATATTGCTAATGGAACAAAGAGAGCAAAAGATCACTTCAATGGCACGGCCAATTGACAGTAGTAACTAGTAATCATTAGCTCAAATGGAATTTTTAACAAAATTTGTTATATTTCTATGGTACAAACTACAATCACGGTAAGGCAGAATAATGGAGAGTGCCAAGTTCTCAAATGCTACCGACTCCGGGAATGGGATCTACATGGCCAAATTGGTAACTTGTGTGGTGCACAAGAAGCATCTTATCGCTAATTCCATCACTTATTTCAGTGAATTACCATTTTATAACAGCAGAGATGGTCAAATTGTGAAGTGGCGTTGATCTTTCAATCGAAGGCATGGCAATACCATTGATCATCGGAAGAAAAAATCTGTTTTCACTTGTTCTCACTGATAGTGCTAAAGGACATGGCAATTGTTAGTGCTCATTTCCTAGGCCCAGCTGAACCCGTTTAAATCAAATTTCTTGCAGTGTTTAGGCCCGTCATAAGTGTCGTTCATGTTCAGATCCAAGTTTGCTGTCTGGCATGACATACTAAAGCCACCTCTCCTCTCACACCTTTCTGGATGATTTGAAGGCCTTCTGTTTAGCTTGTCGAGAAACAAATCCTCACTTCCTCTTTCTTTCACATGCATATCAAATGACATGCAACCAATCTCTTTTCCTTTTTGGGCTGAAAGGCTAATTGATAGGATATCTTGATCCTTCTGGGAACCATCACATGCAGTTAAACAGCTGTCAACCGATCCATCACCGAGATGCATGGTGTGCCCTTGTAGCATTTGTGAACTTTCAATCTCAAAGCCTGAAAAAGCATGCTGGAGGCATTCGGTTGATACTTTGGAGACCAATTCTGACAGTTCCATCTTTGCAGTTTCAAGACCAACCGAACCTGCATTCTGCTTTGCAAGTGTCTCCTGTGCCTTTTCCAGCACCGATTGTAGATACTTTCCTTGTGCTTCAATTCGGAGTTGCAGGTGTCTCTGTACCTGTTCAAAAGCCATTGTTAGCTCTTTGTATTTATTGGATATTTAATCATAAAATCCAACCTATATTATGTGCGCCTCTTTGCATTAATTTTTCAACCAAAATGTAATATTTCAATGAATTCAAAGGGATGTCAAAAGTGTTTATTACAATAAATATAAATTTATGTTATAAACTCGTGCTGTTTTTGTACCTCTAGTTGCTCATGTAGCCGTCTCTGAACTTCAATTTGCATTTGAAGGGCTTCACCTATGTGCACAGATCTGATAGAAATACAAAAGGGTGTTAACCTTCTGCGAACGCGCTTGAGCAAAAGTACACTTGTCTCTTACTTGTTTGTCTGGGTTCCCAGGTTTAGGTGACTAACTGGTGATCCATTTGCTTCAGATGGTTTCTCTGTTGCTGTGGTGCAAACTAGCGCTGACAAAATGGAAAGGAAGTTCAGTATTGAGCTTTATGGTAAGCTGATCATTTGAGAACTGAAATTTACCATTTTTCACATTTCCCGCATTGGCTTGAGCGTGGAGATTTTTGCTTAGTCTGTATTTCTAGTGCAAAAGAGAAAAAAAAATCAATATATTGCTTGAAGGCATGTAAAATGAAAAGAAACCGAGTGGTGTCCCATTAAAACAAAGAGATGAAAGAACTGTGATACTAAGTTCCATGTATACCTGAAGATGACTCTTGAGATGATACAGTGTTAATCCAGGGACGCCCATGAGCCTCATGATTGTTTTTGGGGTAGCTTCTGCAAGATTGAAGTGTTTAGATGATGATTTTTATGTGCTTGCTCTTATGGCAGAAAGGTTTAATCGAATGCTCACTTTCTGGACCACCAAGTTGATTTACTGCCTCCACAAATCGCTCATGTAGCTCAGGGGTCCATTTTAACCTAGGCTTTGCATCAGTTGAGAGAACAAGCCCTGATTCCCCTGAAACACTTCCTCCTTGCATAAGCAAGTGCCGTTCTGAAGGGAAACTCTGCCTAGATGGCAAGAGTTGGTTGTGGCTTTGGAGCTGTTGTTGATGATGATACATCTGGCAAGAATATATCTCATGTTAGGATCTATGACAAGATATCTCTTTTTCTATGTTTGAACAAACCAAACTTACTTGCAACACATAAACACATAACTCATACCTCTTTCAATTCCTCTTATGTACAATTTGCTTGTAGACTGCACAACCCCCCTGTGAGGAACCGCCTGGTGATGTTTTATCAGCCCTCTGTTTCTGGTAATCAGGGGTAGTTCATGGTACGTTGCAGTTCTATTCTTTGGGAGTCAGATGGCCTTTAGCTGCTCTAACTAACTATGGCTACTCATGTCAAGATATTATGCAGAGACTGGTCTTATAAGGCAGGCAAGTGAGCAGAGAATTTCGAATCGTTGGAACAAACACTCAAGCCTGACCCAATCTTTGCATCAACTGAAAAGAGATATTATCCTTATTCCTTTAGGTACCTGTGGACCCTATGCACACTGATCTTTTTATTTGTCAATTCCATGAACACTCTTGCATTCTGATTCTGCACTAGCAAATATAGTTTATATTGCGTTAACTTGGCACACATGAATTGAAGGGAGAGGGGGAATTAGAGACAGTCATGTTATTTATTGGTGTTATAGATGAAAGTGAGAATCTTGTTCTCTTGAGAACTTTTGGGCTGTGGTTTGTAGTGTTGTCTTTACTAGATTCCTGGATTACATCTTACTCGTTGAGAACTAATTCCACTCTCCACTGCACTTATATTGTGAAATGAAAGGGCACCATTTACGGTTGGTCAGCATTGATTAGGATTCTGTATGTTCTGCAATCAGATATGGTATTGCATGTTGATATATGTTCAGCGTACACAAGTATTATAACAATTAATTAAGGAATATTTCTATCGGTTCACAAGAGAGCAAAGTTTTAAAATTCCTTCTTGACCAGATGCATCCAGAAGAAGAATTGGATAAAGTTTTGCATACAAACAAAGCGAAAAAGGAATTCATTCTATTAGTGATGCCTTTCTTGGAACTGCACAAAAGCAAAGCATGGAATAATAGAATAAGCATATGGTTCCCTTTTGTTTTCCTCTGGTAAGTTTTGTACTTGTTCAGCTATCAGGCAAAAGGAAAGTAGATAGGCGAATCTAATAGGATGTGCATGTGTATGAAACAGTCCTCTGAGTTTGATTGTTATCTGTTTGACATAGGGCGCAGAAAGTAGGAGCTTAAAATTGACGGTTCATTTTCTTGTATTCAGTTATGTTGCTTTTGCTTTATAGATGCGCTTCTACAGATGATTGCTTCTCTTACAATCTTATTCGCACTATTTTTCCTCCATGTTTTGACAAAAACTACAAGTCTAAGTCAAGTTTAACTGGCATACGTCAACAGTTTATACAATACACTGATCGGTTTTTACTAACTTTAGAGATCATACAATTTGGGAGGTTGGCGTTTGATGGATTGCCCCTCTATATATCTCACTGACATCTGGATCCTTGCCACAAGTGACAGACACAGGAATATAAAATCAACAAATCCTCCTTATAGAATTCAACCTGCTGTCATTCCTACCCTATTAATTTGTCCTGCAGTCCGTTTAATTTTCATGCTATGTTCTGTATTTTATTTGGAGGGTGCATCCCAATATTGCAAAAAGAATACGGCATGGTAAATAAAATAAAATAAAATTTAGTGAAATCTGATATTGTAGGACCTACTAAAAAAGAAAAAGCTTGACAAGCTTGTTCTTTCGAAAGTATAACTGATATGAGTGGTCCTTGCTGTTCTTTACAGTCTTCTGCTGGTTGTGTGCTACTGTGGTTTGCCTGCTTCTATTATGTGGATCAAACAGTCTTCCCCAAAGTTGTTCAGGGATTCCCTGTACTTAGCAATTGCGATTGTCCTCTGCTCATTTGTTAAGACAAGCAGAAATGGTCCATGCGATATGATGATTGTACCTCGGTTCCTGTTCTAGTGCGGCATGCCGGTGCATATCTGTTGCTCCGAATTGCTGCTTGGTGCCTCGAGCATCGGCTTGGAATTGTGAACAATGATGGTCGATCATCAGGAGCATAAACTAAAACTACTATGCATTAGAACAATGGAATAAGCTCTTTCTGGCCATAGCTTTATCTTTTGTACTGAATCCAATGAAAGGGAGCCTGTATTAAATAGGTAGATTACATTCAGTTGTTACTTGTTAAGAGCTTGGAATCATATTCTCTCTGTTTCTCTTCCTGTCCTTAGCTGAGCTCTTGACATTAGCATCATCGTTTTGCGCAGGCAGGCACGCGATCCCGGAAGGAGGAGTAAGGGAAAGTGATGCTGACAAAGCTGAAAGGAATCGCGACGCCGGCTCCTTTTTCCTTCGTAAAGATGAGGAGGAATATATCACCTCTTGAGGAGTTGAGAGTTGAGTGCGCGTGGCTGTTTTGTTCTCCGCTTATTAGCCTCCTTGTTCTCGGCGCCGGCGGTGCTATTCAAATGAACAGCACGTGTGAACTGTTGTTTGTGTAGGTGGGTAGGTTGGCTCTGGCTATATGTGTGTAGGTTGTAAAAGTGTTTCAAGTTCTTGTGCTGTAGTATTAAACTTGTGTCCGAAGAAAGTGAACCAGAACAGCAGTGTTGGGAGTCTGTATACAGACCATAGCTTTTCTCTTTTCTCTTTGAGGCAATTGTGTTTCTGCCCTTAATTTACATCTCAATTGTGATTTTACTCCTATTTTTTAGGGTTTGTGATTTTGCCCCTGCTTTTTTGAAACGAAGCAGCCGTCTGCCCCTGGTTTGGACGGTAGTTTCGTGGGCCCGGGATTTCCGAATTAAACGATAAAAGAAAATGCTATTATAATTTGTGAATGACTATTCTAGCCTTGCTTCAATGAAACAACTAAATCCCCAAACCTTGCTGTCCCCGATTCAATCGAAAAACCATGCAAGCGGCGGCGGCAGGGGCTTACGCGACAGGCGGCGGCGCGCGGCAGGGAGGAGCGGCGGCTTGGGCCAGCGGGCGGTGGAGTCGGGCGCGGCGGCCCTGAGGAGCAGCGGCTCCGTCGACGCGGCGGTGCGGCGGCCCTGTGGAGCGGCGGTTCCGTCGGCGCGGCGGCGCGGCGGCCCCGCGGGTTGCAAGCGCAGGGAGGCACGGCGGCCGGCGGCCCCGTGACCGAGGAGCGGCGGAAAGGAGCGGCGCGGCTCTGTCGGCGCGTCGGCGCGGCGGCTCCGTCGGTGCGGCCCCGCGGTGTTGCACGCGCAGGAGACGCGGCGGCCGGCGGCGCCGCGGCCGAGGAGCAGCGGAGAGGAGCGGCGGCTCCGTCGGCGCGTCGGCCCCGCGGTGTTGCACGCGCAGGGAGACGCCACGGCCGGCGGCCCCGCAGCTAGCGAGCAGGAAGTGTGCTTGCAGCGAGCTAGCAAGCAGCGAGCAGAAATTATTGCTGAAATTTTGTCATTCATAGTGTGCTGTTATCTTCTATAATTTGTGTCCAAATTATTGATGAATTTCTGTCAAAATTTTGTCAAAAATATTGTTCTGACATCGTTTATAAACTGTGTTCAAATTATTGCGAAAATTCTATCAAAATTATCCAAAATATTGTGTTCTATCAACTTTTACAAAATTTGTGAACATTTATTTCCCATATGAAATTTGCTCAAAATTAACTTGAAACATGTATCCTGTGCAAGCCAAAACATGTCCAGGGGTATACTTGTCCATTCACCACACATTTAACACCGTTACCATCAGTTAATAGAGTAGGGGCAGGCAGCTGCTTCGTTTAAAAAAAGCATGGGCAAAATCACAAACCCTAAAAAGCAGGGGTAAAATCACAATTGAGATGTAAAGTAAGGGCAGAAACACAATTGCCCCTTTCTCTTTACATGTTATATGGTTTATGTAGGTGATGCCTTCATGAGCATCATATGTAGGCCATTTGTTTCAGATGCTTTGTTTTGATTGGGTGCGACGCGAACTTGGTGAGGCAAAGCAGCAAAGGTGAGAAAGAGAAGCTCTTGATCATGTTGCTGTTGGGCTCGCTGATGTGACTGAGAACGAACTAAGGCTTGGCGACCAGCAATCGCGCGGCCCATTTTTTCTGTTTACCCACCATATTATTGTTACAACTTATTTGTTCTTGAATCCATAAAATATGATTTATCATATAATTTTATTCTACTACATTTGTTAGACCACTTATTTTAAGCTGTTTGTTAGGCTTATAATATATAGTATTTAATAGGAATAACTCTACATAACCCCCCAACCTATTACCAGGTGATTGCTTAAACCCCTCACCTAACAAACCAGATATTTAACCCCCTAACCTTACTAAAATCATTTAATTAACCCCTGACGGTGGTTTTGCACTCTTGTTTTGCCCAGCTGGCAGGCCACGCTTGCCTAGCTTGCCACGGTGGATCGACGCGTGTGTGGAGGATGGCGTGAATAAAAACATGAGCGATTTTCTCATCGTTCTCCTCTCTCTCTCTCTCTCTCCCTCTCTCTCAGTCGCGCGCACACAACTCCGACGAGGCGAACAATCTGCTGATGACAAGGAGTGGATCCACTTGATTGGATTGCAGGGTGAGGTAAAGGTGAGTCTCCACAATCCGTTTCTGTGTTTTTTTTTCCAACCAGATTATCTCTTCAAGGATTAGGGTTAAATCTACAAGGTCTTTTAGTGTGGGTTATGTATTTTCTCTGTGAAATTTGGATAGTGCTATGTTGTAGGTAGTAAAATTCTCATCACCTTTTGTGAATTTCTCGGTAATTTTACCGTCTTGATGATTTTAGGTTTAGGGCTTATGAACACAGAAATTTGCTCCTATGTTGGTACTAGAGGACACATAAATTTGTTATGTTTTGTGTATGATCTTGCTTTGGTTTTTTTAAGACTAACGGAGGCTAGAAGCCTCAGATAATATATAGTGTACGATCTTGCTGGTTGTAGTAATATAATCTCATCAAAAGTTAGGATTAATTTTGTTTCTTATTTTTGCAGGAATGGATCCATCGGATTTTCTTCCGGTCAGGTTTCACTATGGTGGGGAATTCATGTTTTCTAGGGGGCAATTGCATTATGTGGCAGAGCGTACTGCATTGTCATACATAGAACTTGATAAGATATCTTTACCTGAGATTATAGGTTTCCTCAGTGACCACATGCCAGTTAGTGGATTGTTACACTTGCATTGGCTATATCCTGGAAAGCAGTTGTCAGATGGGCTAAGGTTTTTGCTTGATGACAATGCTTGCATAGAAATGGCAAATCATATGTCTAATAATGGTCAAGTTGCAGAAATTTATGTTGAGCACGTAGCAATTGATGAGGGGCAAGATGATAATCAGATTGCTGATTGGGGCTATGACATGGTAGAAGCTGACGATGAAGCGAAATCAGATTCAGAAGCAGAGGCAGAGCTACATCCTACTGTTGTTCTATGTACAGATAAGAAGGGAAAATTGAAACCAAGAAGAGCATCATCTCAAATTCTAGAGAAGCCTGAAGATGTAGATGGGCCTGAAACTAATAGCAACCCTGAAGGGCAAGTATCTGATAGTTCAGACTCTGATTATAGGCAACCTATAGAGCAAAATAGCTCTGGAGATGATGAGGAAGCTGAACAACTTAGGAAATTTGCAAAGGAAATCAAGAGAAACATCAGGGCAAGGAAGCTAGGAGTGCATAGCAGCCAGGCTGTAGAGATACTTGATGATGCACTGGTGCCTGAAAATGTCAACTTAGAAGATGATGGCAGTCCATATTATAACTCAAGTGATGACTACTCCTATGAGGAGAATAGTGAAGGAGAAACAATTGGATGGAAGAGCACTAACAATAGGTTTGACAAAAATGCATCAGTTCATGTGTTCTCTCTTGGCATGGCATTTAGATCAAGTAGACAGTTCAAGAAGGCACTAGTGAAGTATGGGTTGACAACACACAGGCATATTATATTCCCAAAGGATGAAAGGGACAAGGTTAGGGCAACCTGCTCTTGGCCAGGATGTAAATGGCTAATATATGGGTCAAAGACAAGTAAGTCTGAATGGTTTCAAGTGGCCAGTTTTAATAATGAGCATTGTTGTCCACCTAGGAGAGATAACAAGCTAGTCACATCCAGGATCATAGCAAATAAATATTTTGATGTTATCAAGGATAATCCAACATGGAAAGTGGAACATATTAAGAAGTCAGTTCTAAAGGACATGCTTGCTGATGTGTCCATTTCGAAGTGCAAGCGGGCCAAAGCCTTGGTGCTACAGGAAGCATTGGATAAAACTAGGGGAGAGTACTCAAGAGTGTATGATTACCAATTGGAGTTGTTAAGGAGCAACCCTGGGAGTACTGTAGTTGTGACCCTTAATCCAGATATACTTGATAAGAAAGTATTTGAGAGGTTTTATGTATGCTTTGAGGCTTGCAAAAAAGGGTTTCTTGCTAGCTGTAGGAGAGTAATTGGGCTAGATGGTTGTTTCTTCAAGGGTGCTTGTAATGGTGAGCTAATATGTGCTATTGGAAGAGATGCTAATAATCAGATGTATCCCATTGCATGGGCTTCGGTGGAGAAAGAAAGATATGATTCCTGGTATTGGTTTATTGGGTTGCTAAAAAAGATCTCAATATAAATGATGGAGGTGAAGGATGGGTGATAATTTCTGACCAGTAAAAGGTATGATTTTTAACTGTTTATCTTTTAACAAAATGTGCAATAGGTCATAAGTTGTAATAAATATTTTGAATTTTGTCTTTTAGGGACTCTTGAAGGCAGTGGCTGAGCTTATCCCTAGAGTAGAACATAGGATGTGTGCAAGGCATATATATGCAAACTGGAGGAAAAGGTACACTAATCAGAAGCTTCAGAAAAAGTTTTGGAACTGTGCAAAGTCATCTTGTAGGGAGCTTTTCAACTATAATAGAGCAAAGCTAGTACAAGATACCCCTCAAGGAGCTAAGGACATGATTACCACTGCACCTGAACATTGGAGCAGGGCATTCTTCCAGCTAGGGTCAAATTGTGATTCCGTTGATAACAACATGTGTGAGTCTTTCAACAACTCTATCATGGATTCAAGGTTCTTTCCAGTCATCTCTATGAATGAGGCCATAAGATGCAAAGTTATGGTTAGAATTGCTGACAATAGGACAAAGGCAGATAAGTGGCAAGGTACAATATGCCCAAACATATTCAAGAAGCTGAAACTTAACATTGAGAGATCTGGCCAGTGTTATGTGTTGTGGAATGGACAACATGGATTTGAGGTTCAAGAGAAAGAGAAGAAGAAGTACACAGTCAACTTAGGACAGAAAACATGCAGCCGCAGGTATTGGCAACTATTAGGACTACCATGTTGTCATGCTATTAGTGCAATATACAAGGCATCCAAACAATTGGATGACTACATAGCATCAAGCTTCTCTATCTCAGAGTACATGAACACATACCAACATTGCTTGCAGCCTGTTGAAGGGCAGGACAAATGGCCAGTTTCTGACATGACAAAGCCACATCCACCTGCTTATGTTAAAATGCCCGGGAGGCCCAAAACTCAGAGAACAAGAGAGCCAACTGAGAAACCTAAGGGAGCTAAGGTAAGCAAGGTTGGCATCAAGATGAGATGTAAATTGTGCCACCAAACTAGTCATAACAGCCGGACCTGTGCTCGGAATAAAGAAGATGGGAGTAAGAGGAATGGTTATATCAGGAGGGATGCTACAAGAAAACGGAAGCAAAGTGAGGCAACAACTTCTGCTGCTGCTACTTCATTCACCATGGTATTATAAAGTTGTTATTCTCAGATTTTCTGTTGTTTTGCTCATTGGCTTAACCTAACTAAAGTATGTTTTTTTTTCATCTTGTAGGGTGATGTGGGCACCCAACAGAGCATTAGCAGAAGCTCTCTGCCTCCAAGTGTTGCTGCTCCAAGCTCTGCTCCACTTGTGCAACAGAAGTGCAGGAAGAGGGCTAGACCAGCTTGAAACACTTCGAGACTTGCCCACCTACTGTTTTACTCTAGCATATGGAACTATAACCAGCATATGGAATTAAAACCAAAGATGTGTGTTGGGGAAAGATGAGATATTTGTTTTTTTATCAGGAATTAAATGCATCCTACTACATGTCTCTTGTTTTGTGAGAGATACTTGCTACTCTGCTTTGTCAAACCTGAATGCTACTTAGTCATTTTTTTCTACTTGTTTCATGAAAGATTGTGGAGCATATTTGTGTGTGTAAATGGTTTGTCTAAAAATTTATGTTATGCCTCTTATTTTGTTCGTGGTACTGAATTCTTGCACTTGTATGCAATTCCAACTTCAATGGCAATGTCAGGAACCATAAAAATGGTATAGATTTTCAATGTAAATAGAGGGATAGAGGAGAAGGCCTCGCCAGAGAAAATCAAGCGACCCTCACAGCATGCCTGTCAATCCATTTGTCCAACGTGGCATGCCAGCAAGGCAAAACCATCATAAGGGGTTAATTAAACGGTTTTAGTAAGATTAGGGGGTTAAATACCTGGTTTGTAAGGTGAGGGGGTTAAGTAATCTCCTGATAATAGGTTGGGGGGTTATGTAGACTTATTCCTATTTAATATAAGCTGTTGAGCATGATCTTCAAGACAGAGCCTATAAGGAGAATCTCTTACTATCGAAATCTGCGCAAATTAGAGGGCAATTAGCAAGGCCACGTGGCACAGCCCGATTCATGGGTTTGGTCCCTCGTACGCAGCCGTCGGATCAAGTATGTACGGTGATATATCATGCGGTGGATGTCGTTGTAAAATAAAATCTTGAGAGGGAGTTTAATGCAAAAGTGTTGAGTATCCAAGCTCCAGAAACCCCTCGTTCGCTCATTCCCATCCACCGCCAAGGCTCCAGCCTCCGCCTGTTCACCTCCCTCCCCCTCCGCAGCTCCGCCTTACCACGCCGCGGCCATCGCCTCGCTGTCGCCGGGCGGCTGCCGATCCCGCGTCATCAACCCGCCTTTCTTCCGGCATGCCGTCGTTGAATCGTGCGCAACGTCACCGTCGGATCGAGGGCGCCGCCTCACCCCCAAGATTGCTGGCCCGTCGCTACTCTCCACATTCTCCTCACAACGGGGCGGCGCCGCTCCTACACCTCTTCATCAGCCGCGACGTCTGCTTTCTCCGCCACCGGCAGCGGAGGCGCTGCCTTCGCCCACATCGCAGCATTGACTTCTCCAGGTTGGCTCACCAAGTCCATCGGCTGTTCCAGGTCATCCACCATCTCACCCCTCTCAATGGCAAACTAATAGAGAACTTTTACGGTACAATATACTACCGGTATATACTACTGATAGTATATAGAAGGGTATATTAGGAATTCGATAGAAAATAAAATAACACTTTAGTAATTTTTAGTTCATATTGAATCTAATTGGGAGTACCTGGTCCTAGATCTTATCGTGCACTAGGGGAGGAGCATCCTGAGCGCCATCCGATGACAAAGCACGTGACGATAGCACGATTTGATGATAGAATAACGAAGAAAAGACAAAATTACCCTTTCAAATTTTATACTGCAAGCTAATTAACTAAAAAATCAAATCAATCTATACCGTTAGATCATATATACTTGCAGTATATACTAGCAGTATATACCGTAAAATTTCCCAACTAATATCCCCTGCTGCACTCTGCTTGTTTGTTTTAATGCTTATTAGTGGAAAATAGTTCAACAATGCCATCTGCCAACGATTAGTAAAACCTACGATGTGAATCCATGTGTTGTTTGCCTGTGACCACTGAAAGTTTAATAATGCTTATTAATATTTTGGCATGCGAATGCTTCTAACAGTCCAAAATGTAGTCTCTGATTTTCTTGGGTTTCTTTATAACCATCTGAATTTAAATCAGTAGATTACTTATCTGTTGTATGTAAGGAATAGATTTCAGAAGTTTAAAATTGCAAACGTCAAGATGGGGCTATCTCATGATAACCTTAAGTGGTGAGATGAGGTTGGGGGGTACAATTCATATCAATATTTTACTGATCTGTACAAATTATCATGTACAATTTTAAAATGACACAAATAAATATTATATAGACATGAACAGCGAAAACATATATGGTGATTACATACTTGGATCAATGAGAGAGAATCCTTGCTTACTTAGGTGGTGCAAGATTAAAGATTAAAACAAACAGTAAAGTCATCCTTTCACCTTGAGGGGTTTTTTTTTTTGGTGATTTCACCTTGAGGGGTTAAGAAGTGTTTTAGGGTTTGTTTACTTTATTACTACTTTCAACCCTACCAAATTTTGATAGGGTAACAATCATTACCTTACCAATGCCATCCTACAAAAATTTGGTAGTTCCGTAACTTTCCTCTCACATCAAACTACTAAATTTTGTAAAGGCATCAAACTAGATACATCCAACGCTACTAAAATTTAGTAGTACCAAAACTTAACAAAATTTGGTATTGCCATAATTTGGTAATGTTGAAATTGGCAACAAAGTGACCAGACCCTTAAAACAATAGGGTATTGAGAAATCTCCCTCATAAATTGAGGAAGGTGACACTGCAGAATTGGGTATTGTATAATGTAGCTGTATATTTGTACTGTTCTCTTATTTAGTAACATTTTTTTAGATATTATCTCTGCTTCATTCTGCCTTCTGAATCTAAATAGGTTAGAATATTTCTAATATCTAGGCTGAATATATCATTGTGTGTTATGAATGGAATGTGCTAGGCCTGTTTATGGGGTTACAGTGTCCATGCTTGTTTGTTGTAGGGTTTATTGGTTACAAATTTGGATTGAGGTCCTACTCACCATGGCACTTTCCGGATGATGGTTGACAGTTCAGCTGCATATATAAATTACAATGTGCAATATGTAAGACCAAGCTTTTTTGCAATCATTTATCCACGAAGAATCAAGTAGTAGAAGAGGATTAGGCGGCACCAGCATCTTCTCCTCCTGCTTGAGGTAAACGCTATTCCAAATTTTTAAAAGAATAATCAATTCCTCAATCTCCTTGTGTAAACTGAAATGCACTCAAAACGTGATGTTTAAATAATAATAAGATAAAGTTATTAAAAAAATATTTCCTGAGTTCTTATAGACATGTGGAGGGATAAAATGAAGATAAGTACTTCCATCACTTTGATTCATTGGAATTTAGAATTTGTGCGCACATATTCAACTTTGAACTTATGTCCACGAACTCACTGTCTTGCAGCCTTCGATTGATCCGAATAAAACTTATGCCAGAACCTATGTCATATCCTAGAACAATTAGATATTGGAAGTAAATTAAATTCATATTACAGAGCAAAAATTGGTACTAGAATTGTTATGTCGTTAGCATTATTATGGTACTCTACATTGCAGATTGTTTCTGCATTTTCTCAGCACACAAGTGGAAAATTGAAGCTGGAAATATGTAAATTAATAAATTTGTAAACTAATAAATAACCTATGGAGAACTTCCTCATACATTGTAGTGTCGTCGAAACGGAAGTATTGTTGAATTATTACCATGATTAATTGTAGCTTCATGCACCTTTTCTTTTGGGCAATGGTCTCTATGTGTACTCTTTTATTCATGCAATGACGACATGATACTGGATACTGAGTATTGAGTTCTTAAACTGAACTGGCATTATTTTGTAGAAAAAAAATAAAGATAAGTAAAAAATCCCAATCATGTTATCATATTAAGCAACAAGATTAGTGATCAGGGCTCAAGTTGATATGGAGCCATATTATTAAATGTTTAATTTTGATTTGTTTTCCTAGCCAGGTACTGAAGTACTGTCTAATTAATGACCCTGGCATATGCAATTTGACCTCTTTGAAGTACTTGTCATTTGATTTTTTTTTCTACCTTTGCCATGACGATTTTGTAAGGTTTCCTTTTGTGATACCTGTACAGTTAGATGCAATATTTAACCAATCGAAGTAGACGCATTTTTGTGTATTTCTTAATATTATTTTTTGCTTTTCAGAAATCCAGAAGAAACACAAATTGCAAAATTTGACGCTAACAAAGCATCCATTCAGGGTATTACATTGTTTTTTCATGTTAGAAATGGTGTAATTAATACTCACCTGGTAAATACATACAATATATTCATTGCCAATGGTACTACCGAGTCCATTTTCTTGCTCGTGTGCAAGAACATTTTATTTTCCTTGCACAATTGTGATCTCAAGTCCCAACGCCTATTAATTCATTTGTTTATGTTTTTGGTTCAAACCTTGAAATAAGGTAACGAGGCACACCATATGCTCGATCCTAAATAAGGCTGTTGACAAAATAGATTGGCCTAATCTAAATTGGGCGTGGCAAGGCCGCGCGTCGTTTCTAGTACAACATCTAAAATATTGCGTTGTTCAGAACACCAAACTAGGTTTTTACTCGAAGAGAGAGAAAGCCACATGAAAATGCCTCTAAGGAGGAAAACGGTGCACCATAGACGTTTGATGTTGTTAGCACCACCAGCCAGAGACTGGGCAAGATTTTCACCATAAGCTCTTTCAACTAATGATCACCTCTACGTTCTTAAGAGACTTAGAGTAAAAGCGTTGTGGGTTATTGTTGCCTAGTTAGCCACATCCAATGCAATGGCTCCAATTCTGCCACAACTCTAAAGATATTGCACCGATGAAACAAACAATACTATTCCACACACACCAAACTACGTTGCTAGAACAAAGGGGGTTGGAAATTTTCAATGCTGAGCAAGCCACACGCGACCAAACAGTTCCGACTCTGCCCCAACTATGAACGTTTGGCTGTGCAGAAGAAATATCATAGACCGGCACTCCCCCATACGAATCTGTGCCCTGCACGAGCTAGGTGATCATAACACATCTCTCAGTCTTTCACCTGGTAGCCTTTCGCACATATTTAGTGTATATTTTTTATTTTATTATATATAAGAGTAATTGTCTACACTAATTTCACTTTGTAACAAGATATACCAAAAGACCTATAAAAAATCCCATAAAAGACACGTGAGAATGTCTATCCTTAAGAAACTTAGTCGAAATTGGCGCAGGTCCTATGGTACCCTAATTAGAGCCCTAACTCTCACACGGCCAGGTAGCATTTCGCACGGGACGGCGGGACCACCCCAAATCATGCGCAAAATATGCTACTCTACCGTTCATTCATACTTCATGGGGCAGGTTGATTCTGCTTTCTTCGGAGATTCTGCACCTCCTTGCTCCTGATGCTGCTGCTCCTGCTGCAGCTGCTGCCTGGTTACATGATCCTAAACTTTCTTCAATCTTTCAACTGAAAATACAGCAGAGAATATCAGCTCTTCGGTAAAAAAAACTTTTGACCCAAGAAACAAATAAATATGACGTCACAATTACGACAAGAATGTATTCGATCAGAAACCAGGTCTAGAGCCATATGTACCATTAGAAACCAGGTATATGTGACATAAATAACACAAAACACCAATTTTTAAGCTCCACACACTGACACTTGTCTGGTGATTACAGCAGCGTTGAACTGCTGTCTAGCAGTAGATGGACGGAGCAACCCCATGGCGACCACAGAATACACAAGCATCGACATGATAGGACGCAGGTTTACAATTCCGAGATGGCCCTCCGTTTCAGGCTCTGGCGGATGGACGGTTTTCGATAGAAAGCCGGTAGATTCCGAAAAAAATTCATAAACCAAAATTTGAATACAAATTTTCAAAAACCAGTCGGCTTTAGCAAAATTCCGAGCGAAATAATCGAAATTTCAATCAGTAACTAGAAAAGGAGGTAAGCTAAATTTTTTCCTTTTTTTAATTCGTTATTCTTTTCTTTCCTAATGTAAATTTCAGTAAATACACAAAATACATCATTTTTTTCGAAAACTTACATCCAATAGGTTCTATGAATATCATATTGTTTATAAGATTTTTTTTTCCTTTTTATTAATTCAAATTTAAATTTGGATGAAACTCATCGAAATCTCAGACGACTTCTACTTTCGAGCCTCGTTGAAACCTCGAAATTTCGTAGAACTCGACCGGTTTTCGTCAAAATTGTGAACCTGATGGGACGATCCCAAAGACAGAAGACCAAACATGAGCCAAGTGATGGCGATTCGGTGCAGTTTGGTCTGGATTGGTGGAGATCGTTGGTTTTAGCTCCACGGACCTATGTCACTATGAAGGTTAAAGAACTGGTGTTTTGTGTAATATGTGTCACATAACAAGTTTTATATGAGGCAAAAAAAAATGGAAACTGGTGTTTTGTGTTACATATGGCTGTTTTCATGGTGTTTTGCAAAAATTTGCTCACTTTTATGTAGCCTGGACAAAAGAAACATCCTATCCAATTATTGCGATTGAAGGATACTCCATAGATTACAGTACGTACCGGTGCTACGCGTGACGGGAATCATAGACAAGCTGAATCAAAAGAAGAGAGGAGTATTAGGCCTTCCAAAATTTAAGGATATGCAAAATAAGTCACCTGCTCTTATTAGCAGCAATCGCCTTCTCCTGCCTTAAGCATGTTGATACAAAGTCAGGCCCTTTAAAGACAAGAAATCACAACGGTTATATGTAAGCTGAGAGCAACTGGTTAACACTTCAACCAAGATTTATAAGCATTATAAAATGGTTAAATATTCTATGGAGAAACGCCTAAAAAGATAATTAGTTCCCCATAAAACCAAGTGGTCCATGTGACTTATACGCACGAGAGCGTATTCTATTCGCAAAAGCTTTCCATGTATATCAACTAGCAAATATTATAGAAAATTCTATAAAAAATTGAACACATACTTTCAATAGTATTACACATGTGTTAAATTTTATCTTCAAATCCATTATAGTTTAGCCTAAAAAAAGATAAAATTCGAACGGATTTGTCAGATTTTTCAAATTTTGTTACAGTTAAAATATAATGTATTTGAATATGAGATTTTGCAGATATATGTAATATTATTGGAAGTACATGTCAATATTTTTTTAAAAAAAATTTGTGACATTTGCTAGCTAGTTGGTATGCATAGGATATGTTCCCATGCACAAATGTAAAAGATATACCCCCCAGCCTATATAATGACTTCTAGCATTTAAAATTTATCTCGGCGAGTTCATCTATTTTCTCATATCTTGTTTAATTTCTTCGTAACTATCACACATTCACACTATCTAACTCATAAAGCATTCCAGAATTTGTGAATCTTCAAGGTAAAATTATTTGGAAACCAGGGCAGGATTTCTGGTCTTGTTTTAGTTCAGGGGTTCTGATTATTTTTATATATTTATTTGTTTTTGAAACAGGATTCTGAAGTTTTTGATAGAGGTTCAATGTGCTTATATCAACACAACTGCCAGTAGCTCGGTGAAATTAATCCATGCTAATGATAATTGGCAGGAACGTCTGAACACACAAGCTATCGTCATCTGAACGCACCAAGATAAAGAGATGGAAGGGCAGAGACGAACAAAATATACATACGACTGCTTGAAGGATCATACTGCCATGCGTGGACGAAGTGGGAGGAGCGCTTCAGCCAAAGTTCACGCGGCGGGTCGAGCATCTCCAACCGATCGAACGCCACCATCTTCCTCAGCCGTAGCCCGTAGGTCGACGGCGAAGATGCAAGATCGGAGGAAGAAGAAGACCCCGTCCGGATCCGTGGGGTGGAGGAGCTTAAGTGCAGGGACGCTCAGCTCCGCGGCAGCATGGCGTCCGCGTAGTTCCGGTCCATCCAGACCTCGGCCAATGGCACGCTGCGCTCGGGGTTCCACCTGCAGGTGGATTCGGCGAGCGCCCACGTGCTGACCACCGGCGCGTCGGGTTCGCCGTGGATCTGCGCGTACCTCAGCCTTCCTCCGCTCACCTTCACCGCAGCGATGGCCGCCGCGGTCAGGCCGACCGTGAAAGGGAGCTGCTCGTCGGGGGGACACGCGGGAGCGGGACGTGGAGCAGGTTGGGCTCCTCGGCGAAGGGATCGCAGGCGAGGAGGCCCTAGGAGAGGTCGATCCACCAGAGCATCGTCCCGACGTGGGAGACGACGCCCTCGATCGGGGTACCAGTCCCGGGTGAGCAGGGCCGAGCAGGTGGTGAGCTCCCTCTCGCGCCACTCGCAGCACTCCCCGACCTTGTAGCTGTGTGCAGCGTGGCGCCGCCGGTGGCGTCTCGCACCGGGGCTGGAGCTCAGCGACCATACAGGTAGTCAGGTACAGCCGCCGCCGTCGTCGTCCTTCACGATGAGGCCGACGTTGGCGGCCCCGTAGAAGGCCATGGGGCGCCGCGTTAGGTCGCGCTCGCGGAGGGAGACTACCTTGCAGGTGCGCGCGTCGCAGATGTGGTAGGAGACCATGGGTGGAGGCGGAGGTGACAGAGGATGCGTGCCGAGGAGGATGAGAAGGCCGGAGCCGTCGGCGGCGGCGACGTAGGGGTAGCATCCAAGGCAGGCCGGGACTCCGGGAGGGAGATGTGGAGCGGCACGGTGAGGACGGAGGCCCGCGGGACGTCGTTGAGGTCGACAGAGATGTCGGCCCACCACGTTGGGGATTGTGGCCAGGATGGCCCAGGGGCTCCTGCGCCGGCGGCGGCATGGCTGCATTTATAATCTTAGTTGCTTGTTTGTGATTACGTTGTGCTTATGTCGGAATCATAAAGTTTTACACTTAACGGCATCATGTTACTTTATTGCTTGCTTGTGATTAATTACCTTGTGTTCATATCGGAATCATAAAGTTTTAGACTTAGCGGCATCCTGTTATTTTGTGATTATAATGTTGGAGTTTATGGTTCTGATTAGATGGCATGAATAAGTAAAAATTTAAACTTTAGACTTTGTAACTTGTCTTGATGACATAATCATAAATATTTAGACTTTGACTTTGTGGGTTTCTCCTGGAATCTAGGAGGTTCAAATTTAGGTTTTAGTGTATTTTCAGAATATGAGCACTCTGTTTTATTGTCAAGGGGACCTGCACGATTTGGCATTATATTTCTTTTATATTATTACTATTTCTTTTGCCGAGGCATATGATTATTGTTGGCATATTTATTGCATATGCAACTGACAAATCCTTATATAATTGGCACCAAAAGCTTGACATGCATTGAGCCACATCATCTAGAAAATAGTAGCTTTTGGATCTCTCTCATGCTTTAATCTCAACCGTCCATTCATCATATGCATTTACAACCCACTAAGTGTAATTGTTGCTGTAAAACTTAATGGGCATTGAACCATGAGTCCATGACAAAAAAAATAAAGAGTAAATTGCATCCATGGTGCATCAACTTGGCAGTGGGTGCAATTTGGTGCAATAACTTGAGAAATGAGCGTTCTAGTACAACAACTTGGTAGATAGGTGCAATTTAATATAAGAACTTTGTAAGTAATCGTATAAATGCAACAACTTGCAAGGTAGATATGATTTTGATACAATAAATTAAAAAGTTATACGGCAACTTAATTATTTGGAGTATTTTTTATATAAATTCAATGTTTATGTACTTATTTTGACAATATAGTAGGGCGGATTTGTATAAGTATATTTATATTTTTATCCTAATAAATAATAATTGAAAGTCAATTAAAGTGGATGTAAAAATTATTATATTTCGGTTGATATTTGAGAAGGTGAAGAAAACAAAAAAAATCTTAAAAGTAATTGGATGTAAATTGTACTAGAACGCACCCATTTGTCAAGTTATTGCACTCAGACGTTCAATTCCCAAGTTCTTGCACTATACCGCACCCACCTGCCAATTTATTGTACCGTGGGTGCAATTTACTCAAAAATAAAAAATAAAAGTCATACATAACTATCCAAGTGCCATGTAGAATTATAATTTCACATCAACTACTACTATACAAATATTGTTCATTTAGATATTACAAGTATACAATTTACAAATTGTTTTCTTCGAGTGTTCTTTAATGTATTTCTAAATTCTCCGCTGCAACGTGTGTTTTCCACTAGTTAGGATTTATTTCACTGCCATATGTTGCTTATTACGTTAGGTTACTACATTTGGTTTCATGCAATGCATAAAGCTATTTGAACATCCATCAAAATTCAATGTGGTGACGGAGAATGAAGAAATATGCAAAATTGTTTCTTTATTGTGCATGAAATTAACTATGTTTGCAACAGGGACCAGAGATACGCACAGGCTTTTTGAAAGATGGCAAACCCATACAGCTGAAGCAGGGGAAAGAAATTACCATCACCATAGATTATTCCATAAAGGGGGATGAGAACTTGATTTCCATGAGCTACCATAAGTTGGCTATAGACTTGAAGCCTGGGAGCACTATACTATGTGCTGATGGCACCATCACACTCACGGTGCTTTCTTGTGATTGTGAGCAAGGCCTAGTTCGGTGTCGATGTGAGAATTCTGCTATGCTAGGTGAGAGAAAGAATGTCAATCTTCCTGGGGTTATTGTGGATCTCCCAACACTAACAGAAAAGGACAAGGTGGACATCCTTCAATGGGGTGTGCCAAATAAGATTGACATGATTGCACTCTCCTTTGTGCGTAAAGGATCAGACCTTATGCTGGTTCGAAGTGTGCTCGGTGAACATGCTAAGTCGATTCTACTCATGTCAAAGGTTAGTTTCTCTTTACATGCTTTACACATTTGTTATTATATGTTGATCTTAATCTGTTATGATGTTTTTTTGTGTAGGTTGAAAATCAAGAAGGTGTTGCTAATGTTGATGAGATAATTGCAAATTCAGATGCTTTCATGGTTGCAAGAGGAGATTTGGGAATGGAGATCCCAATTGAGAAGATATTCTATGCACAAAAGGTGATGATTCATAAATGCAATATACATGGAAAGCCTGTTGTTACTGCAACCCAGATGCTTGAATCAATGATTAAATCCCCTTGTCCTACACGGGCAGAGGCTACTGATGTAGCTAATGCTGTCCTTGATGGAACTGACTGCGTGATGTTTAGTGGTGAGACTGCAGCAGGGGCATATCCAGAGTTAGCAGTGCAGACCATGGCGAATATTTGTTCAAGAGCAGAGTTATACCTGGACTACCCTTTCATTTTCAAGAAACTTAGTTCAGAAGCTCCAGTTCCTCTTAGCCCACTTGAGAGTTTGGCATCATCAGCCGTTCAGACAGCCAATATATCCAAAGCTTCACTCATCTTGGTTCTTACCAGGGGTGGTACAACTGCAAGGCTCATTGCGAAGTACAGGCCAGCCATGCCGGTGCTGTTTGTGGTTGTTCCAGAACTAAAAGCTGATGATAGTTTTAACTGGACTTGCAGTGATGAGGCACCTGCAAGACAGTCTCATTGTCAGGGGTTTGATCCCAATGCTGAGCACCGCTACACCAAAGGCATTTGATATTGAATCCACCGATGAAGCTATATTATCTGGCATAGATTATGCAAAGAAACTTGGTCTTTGCAATTCAGGAGATTCAGTCGTTGTGTTGCATCGCATCGGCGGATATTCTATAGTTAAGATAGTGACCGTCAACTAGTTCATAGTGATCATTCATTTTCATTTAGTGATGAGAGTAATTTTTTGTGAGAGAAAGTTATGTTGGGATGTTTGCTTTTATTTGGTTAGCTAATTCTAACGTGCTAGTACTATGTATATATTACCTACGTACTACGTTTAGCTACCTGTCTTATTGTGTACTTTGTGTTCAGCTACCCATTTTATGCTTTTCGTTTGTGTTTTTCCTTTTTAGAAAAAGGAAATGGTGTATATTTTTGTTCTGGTCTGATTGTTACATGAGGTTGTTGCGTAGCACCTCTATGAAAGCACAACACAGCCAGCCACTGGGATTGCCCGATGTCCGTGACAGGTACATATCCCCTCCCCAGCCGTTAGCTGCGAAACATGGTTAAGTTGAAATTATTTATGTGTATAGATAAATTTCAGATACGTGCGGGAGCTACAAGCTACTAGTTCTTAAATAAACTTTCATAAACTCTCTATAAACAATACAATAGTTAAACTTTGTGTTATATGCCCTCGGTAAGTCTTGTTGATCCATTGATTTGGTTGTTTATGAATACACACTGATGTAAAGATTTATAACTTTTTTAATTAACATGTGAAGATATAAAGATTTATACTAGGATCGTCTATTGATCTGGTTGTTTGTGTTATACTCCCTCCGTTTCGAAATATTTGACGCTGTTGATTTTTTTAAACATGTTTGACCGTTCGTCTTATTCTAATTATTAATTATTTTCCTATCACTTGATTCATTGTTAAATATATTTTTATGTAGGCATATAATTTTACATATTTCACAAAAGTTTTCGAATAAGATGAATGGTTAAACATGGGCTAAAAAGTTAACGATGTCAAATATTTCGAAACGGAGGGAGTATTGACGGAAAGATTTATGCTAGGATGGCCATCTGCCAGGCTGTTAAATCAGGTAACACAGGTTCTGCATTTGGCTTTATCATCCATGTGTTTGACGCGGGTGCACACGATTGCCGAAGGAAATTCAACAACATGATTCAGTATTCCATTCTGGAAAGCTCAAGATAAGACCAAATGATGTGGTTGATGACGACGTCTAACTCCTATATGCTAAGAGCACCTATAATGGTAAAATAAGGTGTTCTCTATCAAACATGTACATCTCAGCAATAGACTAGATTAATAGTAAACAACCTCAATAGTATGTCTACATGGGTATCTATAGCTCTCTCATCCATTGCCTCGTTTTTATCTATAGACTATCTCCAGGTTAGTAGATAGCTTTACTCTCTCTCTCTTTATTTAATCTCTTCTAAGTAGGAAAATATACTGACATGGATCTTTTATAGAGAGTCTATAGATAATTATTGCGGGTGCCCTAATGAAACAAACCGTGCCATTCTCAAGCATGGTACCGGCGTACATTTTGATTTTCGACAAGTCAGAGCCGTGTGGTCTCACAATACTAGGTTCAACACATGAACTGGCAATCAGTTACTGTATCTATCTAGTCATTTATGGGCAGAGGCAAGATACTAACAGGCAGAAAGCAATATACGTAGATTGCTGCGTACCGAATCCTGACTGGATCATGGTATCATACTATTAGTACCGAATTGATACTTAACTAATGTCTCGCTTAAACTGGTGTTTCAAAATGTTTATCACAGATGCTCACCTTAACCACCCAAAAATTACAGTTTCAAGTTTCGACCAAAGAACAAATGCAGCTATCCAACTATACAAGAATGCACTGATGCAGGGACATACAACTACTCAACTAGACAACTGAACTAATCACATTGTTTGCTGCATTTTGCCGTCACGACGAGGAGGACCTCCTGCTCGATCTGTGCGAGAATAACCCGCCAAAAGGCCACGAGAGCCAGCGCCTCCTGCCACTGCTTCCTCCGTCGCCATCACCATCGCCGCCGCCGCCGCGTGCATTGCCAATGAGCTCGTCGCCGCCCTCGGCTGCAACGACGACGTTGCCGGCGGTGGGCTCGTCGTCCGTGGGCAGCTGGTACCTGCACACGGGGCAGGAGCTGTGCGCCTCCAGCCACGGCAGGATGCAGCCGTCGTGGAACCTGTGCTTGCACGGCATCTCCCTCGCCTCGCCGCCGGCCTCGAACTCGTCCAGGCACACCGGGCACGTCGCGCCGGCCGCGTCGTGTACCCGGACCGTCGGCAGCGCGGCCACGGCCTCCTTCCTGGCCGGCGGCGTGCCCTGACGGTTCGGGTCGGTGTCGGCCAGGTAGTCCAGCAGCAGGTCCAGCCCGGGGCCGAGGAACAGGTCGCCGAGCGTGAAGCCGGACGTCGCGGCGGCGCCATTGCCGTCCGCGGGGGTAACCAGAACGAGCCGCTCGCGCCCCGAGTCGCCGGGCGTGTCGCCGCCGGCTTCGTCGTCGTCCTGGAGCGCGCTGAGCAGCTGCAGGAAGGCGATGTTGCGGTACTGCCTCCGCGCGAAGGCGGCGAGGTCGCTGCTGCCATCATCGAGGCCGTGGCGTCGGGACGAGACGCCGAGGAGGTCTATGAGCATAGGCGCCCAAGGAGGCGGAGCGGGCGTCGCCTCGTCGTCGGCGTTCTCCTCACTGGCAGCGCCGCGGCCTCCGGCGGCGGCGTTGCCGCTTCGCCGTCCATCGTCGTCGTCGCCGCCGACCATCTCTTCCACGAAGCCGGAGTGGCAGTGGGGGCACTTCACCTCCTCGATGCCCATCTCCGGCCTCACGATCAGCGAGCACATGTGGCAAAAGTACCTACACGTTGCACTCGGTTCTTCCTCCATTGATCCTCTGTACTGCCGTGTCGTCTTCTTCCTCCTGCTTGTAGAGAGCTACACGCAAGAACACAAATTTCCACCATCAGGTGAATTTCTTACAAAACACACACACAATTTACCGAGATGGATATTCCTCCACAAAAGATTCGATCTTAAGTATGCAACATATGAATCATGCCATCAGAAATTGCATGTATGCCCTTTAAATGTCTCATATAGAAGAAGCCCATTTTATCCTCTCTGCAGATAGCTGCAGAAACTAATGATTTTTTGAAGCTTCAGAATTCAGACAGAATCACAGAAACAAAAGAACACATGATCATTCACAGAACAGAACAGAAAACGGAAAAACCGAAACATGGGTACAAAATTTTACCTGCCAAGGGAGATGATTCTCCTCCAAGAACCAAGAACAACCTCCAATCCTCTGTTCAATCACCAGAGAATACAGCTCTGTCTGCTATAAGGCCAAGACAGCTAGACCAGGGCAAATATCAAGAAGAGGCAAGCAGGAAGAAGAATCTAGAACAGCAACGAAACTAGTTTTTCTGGACACGGCCATAGTCCAGAGGAAGAGGTCAGCGAAAGGAGAGGAGACGACGCACGCAACTAGTGGGCATTAAACTTGTGGGCGCTTTGGGATAACTGATAGCTTCTTGTTTGCGCATATCAACCGGTTTTCTTGATAATTATGGAGCGTGTTTTGTTTTCTTTTGCTTTGTTTGCACCGAGCCGATGCTTGCCAAGGCCAACGATGAGTTCTACGGAGACTCTGAAGCTTCTTCTTTTTTTTTTTTTTTTGTTATGGCTTCCGTTGCTGTCATGGGCCACGAGGGGGGAGAGGTCATTGCATATGGTGTAACCTGACCGAACACAACGAACAGGACAGGTGGTTTGGACAAGTTGATCTCTCTGGCGGCTCGTATCCATGATGAAATGGGTGACATTGCTCTGATGAACTGAACTTTGATTCGATCAACTGGGTAGTAGCAGAATCGAGTATATAAAAGCCAGATTATATATTCAGGAGGCTGATGTCAGTAATGTCCCTGCACGTCTTCTATTTCGTTTCAGCCTTCTTCTCCTTGCAGTTTTTTTTAATCCCTGAAAGCCGGTTTTTGAAGTAACTAATAACCTTTTTAATTGGCAAACAATCCTATAATAATTTTGCTAACAGATCTGTGTCATCATCGTGTCACCAGCTGCCGTGGACGATAATTAATAACATTACTCTATATGCTAATCTTTTTCATGACACATTTTGTTTCCTAAACAATCAAACCCTATATACTCGCTCACTCCCTGTCCTTTTCAGAAATTGTTTTAATTGCTAGGTGCTTATTAAATTCTTTTAATTGTGTTTGACATGTTTATGGATCCAATTAATAGTTTGCATCCATCTCATTTATGTATAATTCAATTTATTTTTGAAATGCGAATCCTAAAATCCATCTAAGCAAATGGAAAAAATGTTATTTGGCGCACTCTCCAATAAAGACCCACGTTGCATGCGTTGGGCAGCTGCGCCACCACCACTATCTGACGAGTTAGGTTCGGCGGTGGGTAGCAGCTAGCGGGTAGAGGATGGAGGGGGTTGGTTTCAGGCTTAGAGGAATAGTCGGCGAGGTGGCACCAGCTCCAGCTCCAGCTCCACCAGAACCGTGTGGCTAGAGTAGAGGACGACGTTGAGAGCGTTATATCTAAAGTGGTTAGGAGCAGGGACGAAGGTGATATCTTGACGACAAAATCCACCGGAGATGAAGACAACGGGTGGGGTGGGACACTAACAAATGTTAGGACGTGCGGAGAGAATGGCGCGAGCGGTCACGGGAGATGGGGGCATAGCGAGGAGGTGCAGGATGAGGCACGGAGTAGCAGCAGCGCCACGTGTATGTACTGCCGATGGACGAAATAGCTAATAAGTGGATAGCCGCACGCGGTCTCATGCACACGACCAGCCCAATCGTTCCTTTTTGGGCCAGGTTGAATGCGATTGGATTTTCTATTTTTGGCCCTTCACATATTGGCCTGTATGCTCTTTGCCCTTTTTGGTAAGTGGTCCAGAATAAGTCTACTTTACATCCCTCATATATTGGTGCTGATTGAATCACCTCCCTCAACCGCAAAACCAAGTATAGCGCCACCTCCATCTTCGAAAACCGGTACAAATCATCTTCTTCAGTGGTTTTGAAAGTAGTTTTCAACTGACGTGACAGATTAACTCGCTGAGTCAGCATATGGGTAGTGATTTCCAACTTATCTCTTCTTCCTCACCTCCCCCTTCTCAGATGCACGCGGATCCTAGGGAACGGAGGGAAAAAAGAATGTGAGCCGCGCTGCGGATCCTGCTGAACACCAAAAAAAACTGCTACTTCGGTTTGGTTCGGTGCGGTTCGGCTCGGTGATCGGTTTTCAGAAAATTTGTGCCCACCTGCGTAATAGATGAGACTAGAGATGGAAGTGGTCGCGTGGTTGACCACGGATCAGCCACCCCAGCGGTGGGCCTCCGCAGCTGGCACACCTGCACGAAATAGCAGTTCCCAATTGGAATAAGTTCACTTCAGGTCCCTCAATTTGTCACCGAGTTCGAAATTCGTCCCTACAGCATAAAACCGGATACAACGCTTCCTCCAACCTACAAAACCGTGCAAACGAGGTCCCTCGACAGTATTGTCCCCGGTTTTAGCTGACGTGGCGCCTACGTGGCACTCTATTGACTAGGTCTTCGTCCCACGTGGCATTGACGTGGCGCTTCCGTGGCAATTCAATCCGAAAAATAATAAAACCCGTGGGACCCACGTTAGTTACACAAAAAAATGGTGGGCCCATGCGGCTCCACATGTCATCCTCACTACTCCCCTCTTCTCTCTATCTATCTTTTTCTTTTCTTTTTCATTCTTTTTTCTTCTTTTGCTTCTACTACTAGATGGCATCAGGCGATGGCGGGAGCGCCGCGCCAACGGAGAGGGCGACCGACAGGAGCGTTGCACGAGCGGAGAGGGTGGCCGATGGGAGCGTCGCAAGGGAGGAGGCGAGCTCGTCGGGCCAGCCGACGGGAGAGGAGCAGCGGCGCGCAGTGGCCGGCGGGAGAGGATTGGTGGCGCACGCCAACTCGCGGGTGGGAGGGAGAGGAGCACCCGCGCACGCCGCGCTAGCGGAGAGGGCAACCAACGAGAGCGCCGCGAGGGAGGAGGCGAGCTAGTCGGGGTGGCCGGGGGGAGAGGAGCAGCGGCGCGCGGGGGGCGACGGGAGAGGAGGCAGTGCGCGCCGTCCGATGGGAGGGAGATAGAGGAGGAGCGGTGCGTGGGGTCAGCGGCCGGCGGGAGGGCAGAAGAGGAGCGGCAGCTCGCTGGCCTCTCCGCCCTAGTCGGCATCCCCGTCTCATCCCTCCCCGCATGTCCCTCTACAGTCCCGTGAAGAGCTGGAGGAAATAGAAAGGGTGGAGAGTGGGACCCACTGACGGGTGGGTCCCATATATTTTATTTTTTTAGTTTTCTGTTTTGCTTATTTATTTATTTTTGGGTCAAACTGCCACGTCAATGCAACGTGGAACAAAGACCTAGTTAAAGGAGACACATAGGCGCCACGTCGGCTAAAACCGGGGTCAATACTGCCGAGAGACCTCGTTTGCACTGGTTTTGTAAGTTGGAGGACGGGTTGCAACCGGTTTTCTGGACCAAGGATGAAATCAGAATTGGGCGACAAATTGAGGGATCTAGAATGAACTTATGCCTTCCCTATTTGGAAAAAGAAATTTCTCATGGAGGCCCAAATCCACGATTCGCCTGGTCTATACATGGGCCATGCTTGAATGGGCCCAAACCAGCAGGAGCCAGGAGCCGAACAAAGAAGTGTGGAGCTTTCTGGAGGCGACGCCAACGCCACGGCCGAAAGCTTTTCTCAGCCCGAGAGATCCGCTGCGAGGGCGCCCCCAACCCGACGGTCGCCGGAGAAGCAGCAGCCGCCGCCCACCCACCCATCCAGTCGATGGCGCCGCCGGATACCAGCCGCGCGCCGGCGCAAGGCGAGGAAGCCGCCTCCACATCCCCGTGGCCTCTCCGGAAGCTCCAGGTCTCGATCCCCTCTCCGTAATCCTATCGAAAGGTCCCGGTTGTTTTTTTCTTCCAATCCCGGATGGATTAGTGTTCGTGGGCACCTATATTTACTCATATGTGGTGTCAGATTGCGCGGGATCACGTAATTTGGTCGAACCGATCTGTCGCTAACATTACGAGTTCGCTCGATTAGTAGTTTTTTTGTGTTAAGGCGTTAATAGGATTGTTCGTGTTCTTTTTTTTTTTCGTGGAAAACTAATTCCATTTTCCCCTAGCATACGCGTTGCGCGAGATGCTTGCAAAGCTGCATTCTCATTGCTTTGCAGTTTTGTTATATTGGATTAACAAGACATTTGCATTTGCTTATGAAGGCCTAAATATTTATGCTTTTTGTTACTCCCTGCTCACCCTCTTTGTGTTTGCATATGTAGAGTTTTACACCAGGGTTGTGTTCGCAGTACAAAGCTTATGAGAATGCATTTGTGGATATGGCTAAAGGTGAGAGTTGTTTTCCCCCTTGTGCATTTGTTGCATTTTGATGTATAGATAATCAGTACCTGGTTTTATTTCCATTGTAGGAACTATTTCGGATGCAATGGTTCTTGTGAACGAGCACCAGACAGAGGCAATTGGATGTGCCACTGTGGCAGGATTCATCTTATTGAGAGGTACATTTCTGGTGTTATCGTGGAAGCTTACTTTTATCGTGGATGTGCCACTGCTTTTGGCTGTGCTTGTATGAGGAATCATCTGGACAACTCATAATTGGTTAATTGCTTTATTGTACTTCCATTTTAGACACGTTGCAGATGTATTTATCTGCTTTCACTGGGTGCCATCTCATAAGGTTGATCTTTGACATGTTTATTAAAAAACGCAAGGTTATGCTATGAGCCTGGATAGGCAGATGGATAAATGTAGGGGAATTTATTCGATAGGAATTAATAAGTGTATAAGAACATGGTATTTTGGTAAATCATGAATTCTGAAGGTGTGATCCACCCACAGCCGCAGGACAGTTTATTTTTCCTTAGGTTTTTTGGAACTGCTGGGGTTACATTCTTGGGGAATGATGTGGACCGGAGAAAGCAATCTAGATACCCCTGCGTTTTGCAGTATTTGTCCACATTATTGTGATATCTTCTTCACAAAATTTTATGTTTCATCCATTGAAAAGAGTACAATACAGTATAGCAGATTTTATTCCATCTTGTGCTCTTGCTAGTAAGAATATGGGTAGGCAATTAAGCATGGTCCAATTCCATTAACTAGCATCTAGATTTTCTGTCTCCTTGGTCTGTGCTCAAGAGATTGGTGAGGAAATATTATGAACCGAGGGAATACTCTTCATAGATCTAGCATTAGTAGACTTTCTAATTTGATACATTATCCCTCAGGTGGTTCATTATGCACATAATGTGGAATATACTATGTTTTATTCTACAAGAATCAAAATGCTCCTTGAAGTAGGAGAGCAAGGCAAATTCTTTGGAGGATAACAAGTTCTGTTGTAGCAATTTCTGTAGAATAAAGTTGCCATTCATTTATGTGTTGAATTAAATGTACTAGTATAGACAGCATTCATGCCATATGGAACTCATATTACATAACTATTGGAAATGGTTATAATTTGGGATAATTGCAAATATGCCACTGATTTCAACCCCTAACTCGGAAAAGCCATTATAAATACCCAAACTGCAAATTAGCCACCAAAGTTAGTTCCCGTTACTTTCGTTTGCCATCGCCACCTGAATTGGTACAATCAAAAGGCCAAAAATAATTCATAAAACTAACTTAAAAGATAAGGAGCATGACAAGACCATCTTGCCCCTAACCGGAAAAGATCCTCGCTGGCTCGCCGCCCTCTCAATTGCAGGCATGTGGGCGAATGGCGGGAGGGCCGCCGGCCACGCACAGGTAGAGGGCTTGAGGGCGGCGTGGGGATGGACAATCGATGGGAGGGCGCGCTGACGGGCGGCGTGTCGGCGGACGACGGGAGGACATGTGGCCAGGCGGACAGCGGACGGCGACCGGCGTGCATGTCGGCGGTGGTTGGAGTCCTTGCGACGACGGGCAACGGGGGTAGGGAAAATCTCACCTTTTTTGGGTAATCTTGCCGGAGGTGCGAGGAAGTCGACGGCAGCCGCTGCTAAGCAGCACGTTGCAACGGAAGCAGCAACGCTCGCGGCTGCAGCACGAGCACGCGGCAGCAGCAGCTCACTACAGGCCTGCAGCGAGAGCAGCAGCTGCAACAACTCCCTACGATAGCAGCAGCAAGCCAGCAAGGTGGTAGGGCTGCAGCAAGAGCAGCAACAATGGCGGGCGCCCGGAGACGGCAGCAGCAGGGAGGGGCATCCTTGTCCTATTTTTTGTGAGAACCCATCTTTTAACGGTGTTATTCCCAGCCGTGAATCTAATGGCAAGTATCATGGGTTCCAATCGTTTTTTATGGCAAGCATGCAATTACGTTTTTTATAATGGCAAATTCACAATACCGATTCAAATCAGTGGCAAATATGCAATTGGCCCTTATAATTTTGATGCCAGATGATATTCTTGTGAATTATCAGTTTGAGTTACTTCCGTGTAATTTGATAACAAAAGTTCGAATCCTGACCGACCCAGGCCCATATCAAGCACAGTGGGGTGTATCTGGTAGGAGGCAGCTAGTATTCTCTTCTTGGTTTGACAATTCGTTGTTAGATGTGGCATCAGTAAATGAAAATTATACTTAATAGCATTGTTGGAGGATCAATATCAATCATAAAAATCTGCAAAAACATGCCTTCGTTTTGTTAAAGGAATTTTACTTGTGAAGAATGGACTTTTGGCAAAGTTATGTGCATTATTGACTGCAATGGAGCCCTCCATCTGGCAATAGTGGATTAGTGATTGTTCTACTCTGCATCGTGGCCTTGCTACATTTCCAGTGATCCAGGAATTCGTAGAATTACAGGTAAAAAAGGATTGTGAATATTATGCAGATGAAGGCGGTTGTAGGTTTGGGCTCTGCTTTTCAGCATGGAGGATAGGCTAGCTTAATTAGGATCACGCAGTCATGTATTCATGTGAAGAGAGATGTTGTTTACCCTTCAGTTGCTTTGAAGTTCAGCATGCTTTATACTTTTATCAGTTGGGCATGGAAGCCCATTTCCTCTTTTACTGAAACAGTGTTGTGTTTTTGTTCTCATGAAGCAAACGAAATACTAACTTTTGCCTCAAATGCTAATGAATTTTGTCAGGTCCTCGGAGATTTTTATACCGCAATACTCTGGGGCGTTTCAAGACTGAGAAGGTACTGTTCTTATATATGTAGCATCCATTATATTATGCATGCTTACATAATTTCTATATGCTTATAGTTATGATGTCACAGCATGTAACAATGATTTCTCCAAGTATTAAGTGTTATTTCAGTGATTGGGATAGTAAATACTATTGTATGTTCGAATTGCATAATCATGATTATGATTTTTTTTGTTGGTGCCAACGCAGACAGGCTTTCTTCCCTCCATGATATCAGAAATTCTGACCAAACATTTTTTTAATAGGATTTACTGAATGATGCTGAGCAAAGTATGATGGAGTACAAAACATCTATCGAACAGTTGAAAAAAGATTCAAAATACACCCTAGACAAAATAGCTGTTGGTGAAAGTGATTTGCAGCGTGGACAAACTGATTTGAGGTAATATGCAATTACGTATACAGTTTGGGCTGGACAATATTTGCTTTTATATCCATCTTCTGTTCTTTTTATGAATAACACCACTTTTTCTTACCAATATGTTGTCAATGTCATGCTCATGTTTTTTTCCAGGTCTACTGGTAAGCAGATTCGATCTCTTATTGGTTCCATTTACAAGGCTGAATCCACAGCTACAGGTATTGAGTTCCTTCTCAAAGCATATAGTTCATTGATCATACTTTTAATAGTTTGGCAAGATGTATCTGCATATAAGAGGTACCATACATCATTTGATGATTTACTCTTGTTTTATATGACACTTGCTCTTATGGCCCCAGGTTTGATGGATCGACTCCGGACAATTCCAACCAGACAATCTCTTGAACTGCGAGCAGAGGTAAGTTCGAGGGCTTTACGTATATTGCATTGTCACCATCTAGATTTCAAACTTAGTCATGCTCTTTTCACTTTTCAGGTGGCTTCCATGGCCTCTGATTTGAAAAACCAGAGATGTGTTCTACAAGAAAGGATCAACAAAATATCTGAATATGGTGTCCGCGTCTGAACTTCAGTAATCATATTTCCCATGATACCACACTTGCCCTTCCAAGGTGGCAATAAACTGAATCACTGCAGGAGATGCTGTTTATCGTTTGATCAGGCCAGTACCATCTCCGGACTCTTAACCTTTTCTGTAAGCATTTTAAATAGGAGAGCAAACAAAATCACTCGCCATAACCATGGATTTCATGGCATATTCACTGTATTTCTGTGCTGCGCTTGCGCATTGTTCCTTCAGCTTATGTGATGTGTTTCCTGTAAGCAATCTTTTTGGCATTCTGGTTCAGAAGAACCCTCCGGCTGCTTTTTCCCACATGGGCCCCCTCATCGTACTACCAAGTTATGTGATATTCTGATGTAAGACATCTCTGCTCCAAGCCTCCAGGAAGGCCATAGGACAATGAAATTATGTTTCATTCTTCAGTTACTCTTATTTATATTTTCAGAAATCAAGTTAAAATCTAGAGTGTTGGCTTTTCAGAAACGGCAGCAACGTAGGCATTTTGCACCATACAAAACGTCATCCCCAAGTCGAGCGCTGTTGTCCTGACCAGGGTTAAAGGTTTAGCCGATTTGATCGGACCTCACCGAAATGCTGAAATTTCGGTCCGAAATTTCAAACAAAATTTAGTTAAATTTGATCAAATATTATCAAAATTCATGAAAAAAATTTAAAAAAATTTAGCCGAAATAATATCGTATCAGAGGAGTCCGAAATGACCGTTCCGGAATTTTCAACCCTGGTCCTGACTCGTGTCGTGCGAAACCCTGTGGTTCCGTTGGGACCAGGCCAGTCTGGAATTTTACTTGGGGAGTGGACTGGCCAACAAGCAACTTAGCTTGGCCGCATTTAGGCAATTCAGAAGTTCGGATCAGTTTCATCACCCCACAATTCATGCTTTGAATTCTGTAGAGAAAAAATGGATATAATCTGGCAAGGTACCAAAATGTTCTCTCTAAGCTGAATTACACCTGTAAATTGTGAGCTTCAGTAGATAGCTGAATTACACCTGTAAATCGTGAACTTCCGATGAAGTGAACCAATTTGCAACCAAATGTATTACATTTATAATATCCTAGAATATACAGCTTGTGACCCAAAATTTATTGTCCCTATCTGCGGCTCAGTGGAAAGTTCGTAAAAGAATGAGAAGGAAAAAAAAAATGCCTCTCATATCCGTGATACTGTGACGCCAAAATGTATAATGTGTGCCTGTACTCCATTAATCTCTTGCGACTATAGCATTTGCCCCCCTGCTTGTGGTCTGAGCTCACCTTTCATTATCGATACTCCCATCTTGCAGAGGATCAAAACTTGCCGAGAGTGTATCCCTCTAAGATCAGCTAGGTTGATTTTCTAGCCAAGAAGATCTTGTCGGAGTCTCATCTGTTCTGTTAGTTTCAAACCGAGAAAATCTTCGTAATCTGTTCACCTTCAACCGAATTGAGGGCGCCTTTCGAGCTATGGCCTTCCAGATCATCTGAACAGCATCATCATTTTGAGATGGGTACTGGTATTCGAAGTGCCTTTCTACTTCCTTCAGCCTGTTCCACATGCGTGTCCAGTCTTCTCGGCTTATTCCATTAATCAGATTCATAAGAAAACCCTTCTTGACAGCATCCGCACCACGCACTATGATGCAGAACTTGGAGTAGTCAAGGACATCTTCAAATGGGAGCTCAATCTCATCGCTGATGATGATGGGAACGCAGTGGCTGACTATGGAATCAAACAGGCGATTGGATGATGGCGTGTCGCCTGCAATGTTGAGGCAGAACTTGGAAGCCCTCATCCCCTGTGTTGCTTGCTCAATTCCATTACCCACCACACTTCCAAATGAAAAATGTACATCTTTCTCATCTTTGAGGAGATAATACAGTTCCTGTCTGATGAAACCTCCCTGCAATTTTGTGCAATTAATAGGTCAAAATTGCGTCGACGATAAAAGAATCTGAATCACAAATATTGCTCCATAGTTCCTCAATTCTCAATACAAGTTAATCAGTTCTCAGAACAACAGGAATATAATTCAGACTGATCATAAACCGTAATATATATATCTTACATTTTCCTTGTTAAATGCGCACAGATACTTCAATCATGGTTTCGATTGTAGCAGTAAGACTCTAATACTATGAAGTATTACGTACTGACAGTCTAAACCTAATGACAGCCTGCAATATCTTGTGACATGAATGGCAAGTATGCTGGTGGGTGACCATATGACAAGTGATTTCTTAGCAAAGTGAGATGGATTAATAAACAAGACAAACATTCCATTTTTTGGAAAGCATTAATTAGTAGCAATGGCACTTCCCCCTTGCCGAAATTAATGAACTGCTTCAAAGTAAGTAGGAGTACAATTGAAGGGGGTACTAACTGAGAACTTAATCATCAAAGTAGAACTAGTAGCACATGGCAAAAATTATCAATTCCGTTTTGAGGGAGATCACATGGAAAACATTCATTTGAAAATAGAGATACGATAACACAACCACATATTATGGGTATCAAAATTTCCCGAATTGGCTTAAACCTAATAATCTTTTCACAAAAGAGTACAGTAAGTAACAAGGCACTCACATCTTTCCGGTAAATGGCACCCTGGAAGTAGAGCAGCGTCGGCCGGTCATCGTAGCCGGCGGAGTCATTGGCGAAGTTGGGGACGACGTGCCGGTACGGCGCGATGACGTCCTTGTCGAGGCCGGCGACGCTGGGCGGGTACCTCCCGAAGTCGCAGAGCACGAAGACGCATGGCCAGAGCTTGTAGCGGGCGTCGAGCATCCCGTTGGGGTGGTGGGCGAGCACGACGTGGTCCCTCCCGCCGGACCTCCGCCACTCGGGGCGCGCGGCGAGGTAATCGAGCAGCCTCCGCTGCAGCGCGCGGTCCTCGCTGGCCCGCGCGGGCGGCACCACCTTGGAGTGGCGGTTGAAGCTGAGCGAGGCGAAGAAGGGCACGAAGACGACGTCGGCCGCGGCGGCGTGGCGCACCCTGACGGCGCCGCACGGCGTGGGCGCGCCCTGCTCGGAGGCCAGCAGGTCCAGCGTGAGCCAGTACTCGATGCTGTGCTGCAGGTTCAGCCCCCCCGGGTACTCCGGCACGCCGCCGCCCCTGACATCCGGCCACACGCCGCCGCCGCCGCCGCCGCCCCCGCCCTGTGGCTCCCAGTCGAGCAGGCCGAAGTGGAACTCGGCGGGCAGGTCATACATGAACACCCGCAGCGCCGCGGTGGCCGGGTCGCATTTCCGGCCCGAGGAGCCAACGCGGAGGCCCTGACCCCGCGCGGCCAGCAGCGGTTCGGGCGTGACGGCGGCGGAGTCGAGGAGGAGGTACCAGGAGAAGAAGAAGAGCAGCGCGGCGATGGCGAAGAACCAGGCGATCGGGCGGCGGCGGCAGGAGGCGGAGGCGGAGGCGGCGGCGGCGGCCATGGGCGCGCGCGCGCGCGCTAGCAGCGTGGGCAATGCGGGTGGAGGAGGCGCGCGGCCATGGCCGGGGATCTGGTCGCGGTGGGGGCCGACAGGTGGGGCGGATCTGAGGAAGGGGAGGCGGCCGCTGCTTGGGTCCTTGTCGTCCTCCTTCCCGATGGAGCTGCGAGGGGGTCGGATCTGGGGGTGGAGGAAAGGAAAGCGGTTGGGGTTGGGAGCGGCGCGGTGGAGCGCGCGGCTTTCCAAAACCACGCAAGCGGACGCACGCGCACTTCCACGGTCGGGGTCAGTCCTGTCGCGGTCGCAGGGTCTCTAGTCTCTCTCTCCTCTCCATGTGGTTTGTGAAGAGGACCTTCTTCTTTGGTTGGGTTTGGCATGGAGCCAAGAGGAGGGACGGCCGGAGTACATGCGTGCTGCGTGCACCAAAGGCTGCTGATAGGCCTGATATAGCACGTGAAGTTGTGAACTGAACCGGTGAACCCCCTTCCATTTGTTTCATCCGCTCGGTCTGCCTCATGTTTTAACCAGTTTTCTTTTCACCTTTGAGTAAACCAAAAAAGGCTTTCAGCCTTATCGATTGACCTAATAATACAAAGCGAAAGCGAAAATTTAAATTTTTGAATCTGATTTTGAAGTTGACTTTCAGATATTTTGATGTAATTTCTTTTTAGCATTGGCTTTTAAGTCGTTGCGAAAATATATATAAAAGTTTTACCTACACATTAATTTTTGCCCCTCCTAATAAACTGTTTTGGCTTATTAAGGAATATGTGCAACTGATAAGGCTCTTTCAGCTCACCGAAACGAATGCAGTGCATTTTAACTTTCACGGGATAGAAATTTAAATTTCATGTAAGTGATTTTTTTTATTTGTGCCATGTTCTTTCTAGTTTATTCACTGGATTATTGAAATGGAGTTTTTCCACTCTTTAAAGAGTATGTTTTCTTAAAAAAAAAATCCTTCTGCCATGTTACTAGGGCCACTTGTTTTAAATTTATTAAGTTTGTATTTTTAAAGTATTTAATTTATCCACATAGTTAAGTAGAGAATTCACTCTATAATCTAAATCAAACAGATCTTGTCCGTCCATCCTTTCCATGTCAAAGATAATAAATATCATGCGTTCACAAATGATACTAGTGCTTTTGACAATATAATAATACATGTAACTTGTTTGTTATAGATATGGAGGCAATAAATGGTCAAGTTTTCTGGAAGTTGATCAACATTTAGACATAGTCCTGAATATATGGTGTGCGGAGATCACTAAAGATAGTATTACTTGTCATCTTTATTGGAATGTTTTATAAAAAAAATTAATCACACCTTGTTTTCTCTTTGAAATTATCATACTACCGATACCCCATATTTTAACTAGTTGATTTATCAATTCCACACATTATGTCCGGCAATATAAATAATTTCTCTTTATTAACATTTTTCAAGAATTGCATTTTAATACTCCAAGCGCTATGCTTAGTTTATGCGTAACTTAGCCCCCTTTTGTTTTTTTTTCTTCTTTCAAAGTTCACCTCTACCAAAGGAGAGCGCCGAAAAGGCTAGTTGGCGCACGCGCGTCGGCGGCGCGCGTTTTAGGCCCAGAAGGCCCAGCGCCGGCGCGCGTGCCCTTCTGCACGCTCTTTTTTTTTTTCTTTTTTTTCCTTTTTTTCCTCACTTTTTTTCTGATTTTTTTTATCTTTTAGCATGTTTTGAGTTTGAAAGTTTTTAAATTTTGAGTTAAAAATTTTCAAATCTGGATTTGAAACTTTTCGAATCTTGATTTGAAAATTTTCAAATTTTTCAAATCTGGATTTGAAACTTTTCGAATCTCGGGTTGAAAGTTTTCAAATCTCAAATTGAAAGTTTTCAATTTTTTTCAAATCTGGACTTGAAAGTTTTTGAACCTCGATTCTCGAGTTGAAAGTTTTTCAAATCTCGAGTTGAAAGTTTTCAAATCTCGAGTTGAAAGTTTTCAAATCTCAAATTGAAAGTTTTCAAATTTTTTCAAATCTGGACTTGAAAGTTTTTGAATCTTGATTCTCGAGTTGAAAGTTTTCAAATCTCAAGTTGAAAGTTTTCAAATCTTAGTTGAAATTTTTTAAAATTTGACTTTAAAATTTAAAAGTTAAATCGAAAGTTTTCAAATCTAACTTCAAAAATTTTCAATATGTTAGTAAAAAGATCTCCCAAAAAAATTTCCGAATATTTTCTTGATTACTATCATTAGTGTTAAGTATATTAACTAATATACGTAATTAAGACTAAAAGGGATGAAGTGCTCGCCAGGTGCACGCGCGCGCTAGCCATTCCCGGAGAGCGCAACTTGGTGGGGGCTAAAAACCGGGTCATGATCTTTTTACAAAATTAACATTACACCTGTCTTAAAAAAATTACGAGTATGTTTAGCAGTATCTCCTATGTCATTTCTTGCCTTAACGTTTTTTTTTGTTTTTTTGGGGATGGTAAGATTTGGTCATAGCAAAATTCTGACAAGGTTAATGTTTAGATTGTTGCCAAATTTTTTTCTTCTATATATAGCTATCAAAGGAGTGCCAAATTTAAATTGGCATGGTTGAGAATGGATACAAATCAAACAGGCCGTACATTGCATAGTGAAATATGAGTTATTGCCACTACTTAATTATATACTAATTACTGAGCATAGATCCACTGTTTGGATTACGTGTGATAGAATCAGTCCACACAAGTTTAAGTTTCAGACTGACAAATGTGCTTGTATTTATGACTAATTATTTTTTCAATGATAGGCAACGTAACTATCGCCGTTGTCGATAACAACGTGTCCATGGTGAGTTCATTAATCTTTAATATACTCAACGAGGTGTATGTTGTGACTTTATTAATATCTAGATATCCATGATGGTTTCGTTAATTTTAAAATATGTCGGTCTAGTTTTTAAAATGTTAATAGGGGTAGCACGTGTGTTTACATATGTGAGTATAATGTGAGCACATATGTTTATACTTGTTTTTTTAAAAAAAAACAGTAACAGGTTGGCACTAGTTAATTAGCACCTAAACGTTTTAGCTTTAGCTACCACTGCCTCTAAACACAGCGCTGCCGGCCCTCTTCTTTATCTGTTTACCACTGTGCATACGGCAGTTTTTTTAATACTCTCTCTATAGTCTATACAATGCAAGTGTACAGTACCCGTTAAAATAATTTCTGGATGATTAACGGTTGAAAGTGCCCCTGTTTAGCCCATTTCCACGTAGCTTCCCACGCGGATGCGGGGATTCCTCCTTTGGCTGCCTGCAACGCTGCATCTCGCTCTCGTCGCCCGCGCCATCTCGTCTCCCGCCGGGTCACCCCCAAGTCTCCTCCTCCCTCGCCGTAATCAGGCAAACGATCCTACTCCTCCTCCTCCTACGCATTCCCTTCTTGTGCTCGGCTCCGATCTCCTGCTCCACTCTCTGATTGCTGTAGAAATCACCACTCGTCTTTGCACGCCATGTGTTCGTTCGTTTGCCTGTGAGAAGCATTACCACCATACTTGCCAGGAAGCTTCTTCGCACGCCATGTGTTCGTTCGTTTGCCTGTGAGAAGCATCGCCACCGTACTTGCCAAGAAGCTTCACCGAGCTGCTTGCTACTACCTCTGCAAGATCCCTGCTTTTACCTCTGGCACGGCAGCTTAGTAGTAGTAGTCTCGCTGTAACTTCCCATCCAATTCCGAGCGGATAATCAGCTCAGCCCGCTACAAGAACCCGTTGAGGGGTTGAGCCAAGCAGCAATTGTCTCCTTCACCAGTTCCAGCCCCGAGTCTTTGAGTCAACGCCTCCGCATTCTTGGCTTCCGCCATGGGTTGGCTCCAGCAGCTCAAACCTCTGTCCGACGTCCCCGACAAGATCGGGGGTTTCCTCTTCAACCTCGCATGGTCCAAGGGGACCCGCCTGTGGAACGTCGAGGAGGAGGCCGAGAAGCTGCGGCGCACCGAGAAGCGCATCCGCGCGCTGCTCAGGGACGCCGAGGAGCGCCGCTACATCGACGACGAATCCGTCAAGCTCTGGCTCCTGGAGCTCAAGTCCGTCGCCTACGACGCCGAGACACTGCTCGACCGCCTGACCACCTTCACCGCCGTGGCCAGGCTGGAAAGCGCGGAGCCATCGCGGAAGCGGAAGCGCTCCTGGCTCAATTTGCAGCTCGGTCCCCGGCAGCGGTGGGGGCTGGACGCGAAGATCACCGAGATCAACGAACGGCTCGACGAGATCGCTAGGGGCCGCAAGAGGTTCAAGTTCCAGCCCGGGGATGCGGCGAGGAGGGCGCAGCCAGGACAGCGGCCGCGGTTTGTTGAAGTTGCGGCTTGCCATGATGAAAGCTCTCAGATTTTCGGTCGTGCCAAGGAGAAGGAGGAGGTTGTACAAGCACTTTTGTCGGATCACACCATCCCCCTGCCGGTGATCTCCATTTATGGCGCGGCAGGAATTGGGAAGACGACGTTGGCACGCTTGGTGTACAACAATGCTGAGGTACAGAGTTCTTTTCCAACTAGAATCTGGGTTTGTTTGTCTGACAAATGTGATGTGACAAAGGCTACAAAGATGATCATGGAAGCTATCACCAAAGTAAAATGTGATGCATTGAGCTTGGACATATTGCAGCAGCAGCTTCAGGAGCACCTGAGCACTACCAAGTTTTTACTGGTGATTGATAATCTCTGGGCTGAGGATTATAACTTCTGGGAACTGCTGCGGTGCCCATTGCTTGCTGGGGAAAAGGGAAGTAAGGTTTTAATAACAACTCGGAATGAAAGAGTTTGGAGGAGGACGACGTCTACAATCCTCCCTGTACATTTGAAGGGTTTGGATGATGAAGAATGCTGGCTTCTCCTAAAAAAGTATGCGTTCTTGCATGGGCAAGGTAGGGAGAATGATGCCTTGTCAAAAACTGGGAGGATGATTGCAGCGGACTGTCGAGGTTCCCCATTAGCAGCCAAATCACTCGGGATGCTTTTGTCTGATACTAATGGAGAGGAAGAAGAATGGCTCAATATATCAAACCAAATGCGGATTCTTAATGAAGACAACAACAGGATCTTGCCAAGTTTGCAGATAAGCTATCATCACTTGCCATATCATCTGAAGCAGTTGTTTACCCTTTGTTGCTTGTTTCCTGTTGGGCATGAATTTGAGAAGGATGAGGTGATCAGATTGTGGATTGCAGAAGGCCTGATTCAGTGCAATGCTAGGAGGCGTTTGGAGGCAGAAGCAGGAAGATTTTTTGATGAGCTTCTGTGGAGATCATTCTTTGAAACCTCTGGCAGTTCAACAAATCAAAGATACAGGGTGCCAAGCCTCATGAATGAGCTTGCATCGCTTGTTTCAAAATCTGAATGTTTGTGTATTGAGCCTGGTAACTTACAGGGTGGCATAAACCGTGACCTGGTCCGATATGTATCTATCCTGTGTCAAAAGGATGAACTCCCGGAGCTGACTATGATCTGCAACTATGAAAACATAAGAATATTGAAACTGTCTACTGAAGTAAGGATTTCTCTAAAATGTGTTCCCTCAGAGCTTTTCCACAAGTTAAGTTGTTTACGGACACTGGAAATGAGTAACAGTGAACTAGAGGAGTTGCCAGAGTCAGTTGGATGCTTGACACACCTTAGATACATTGGCCTACGCAAAACACTTATTAAAAGGCTTCCTGACTCAGTTAGCACCTTGTTCAACCTGCAGACTCTAGATCTCAGGGAATGCTACCGTCTTACTGAGTTACCTGAAGAGCTAAGTCGGTTAGTTAATTTACGTCACCTAGACTTGCACCTTGAATGGGATAGAATGGTACCAATACCAATGCCAAGAGGGATTGACAAGTTAACTTCCCTTCAAACACTTTCCAGATTTACTGTGACTGCTGATGCTGAGGGCTACTGCAACATGAAGGAATTGAAGGACATCAATATACGTGGTGAACTTTGCCTGCTGAAATTGGAATCTGCCACCCATGAGAATGCGGGGGAATCCAAGTTGAGTGAGAAGCAATATGTTGAAAATCTGATGCTGCAATGGAGTTACAATAATAATCAAGCAGTAGATGAAAGCATGCGGGTTATAGAATCACTCCGTCCTCATTCTAAGCTGAGGAGCCTATGGGTTGATTGGTACCCTGGGGAAAATTTTCCTGGATGGATGGGGGAAAGTTCTTTCACCTATCTTGAAAATCTGAGGATTTGTGACTGCAGAAATTCCCGGCTTCTTCCGTCTTTTGGAGAACTGCCAAAGCTAAAAAAATTGCATCTTGGAGGCATGCATAGCCTACAAAGCATGGGCACTCTTTTGGGTTTTCCATCTCTAGAGGTTTTGACTTTGTGGGACATGCCTAATCTTCAGACATGGTGCGACTCGGAGGAAGCAGAACTTCCTAAGCTCAAGGAGCTTTATATAAGCCATTGCCCAAGATTGCAAAATGTGACAAATCTTCCTCGTGAGCTTGCTAAGCTGGAGATAAATAACTGTGGCATGTTGTGTTCTCTTCCTGGGCTTCAACACCTTCATGATCTAGTCGTTCGTAGAGGCAATGATCAACTAATCGGATGGATCAGCGAGCTGATGTCTCTGACTTCACTAACGCTGATGCATTCTACAGAAACGATGGATATACAGCAGTTACAACAGTTGAGTGCGTTGAAGAGATTAAAGATTGGAGGATTTAAACAGCTTTCCTCAGTGTCTGATAATAGCGGCATGGAGGCACTCTCTTCCCTTGAGTTCCTTGAGATATCATCCTGCACAGAACTCCAGCGATTTTCTGTTGTGGGATTGCAATCACTGAAGGATTTCAAGCTTCGCCATTGCACCAAGCTGGAAGCTCTGCCAACAGGTTTGGGCAACTTGGGATCTCTTAGATGTGTTGAAATTCACGACATTCCTAACTTGAGAATAGACAATACTGGCACGGTATTGCCTGATAGTGTCTCCTATCTGACATTAAGTGGATGTCCGGATCTGGAGAGTTGGTGCAGGAACACGGGCGCCCAGAGAGTAAAGAAAATCCCTAATGTAAAGATTGGATTCTAATCGTTGCTGGAGTACCTTGTAAATCAGGACACTGTGGATGGGAGTCGTCCAAGTCTATTCTTCATTTGTGCATGTGCTCCCTCCTTGCGTAACATGTGTTCTCTATTTCATTTTTAACTTGTGAGAGTTAATTTTTTTTTGCCTTATTTCCTTTTGGAAGCTATGTCATTGTTGATCTGTTAATCTGTTTGAAATGTATTTGTGAAATTTGGTGTTACCAGCTTTGTTCTTGGGAAAATTTGAGCAACCTCGGTCCTCAAATGTGTATGGTTTGTTCAATTGTTTTGACGTTAATAAGTCGTTAATTTTATCTGATATATCTGTTTTAGCTCGTCAATGTAATTCATTTCAACAAGATAGATCTTTTTCCCCATTTGACTTGTTTTCAGAATAATTTTGTGACAGGACAACAAAAATGAACAAGAGCTAATTAATGTCTTAAATCTGAAAGCAATCATTTAATTAGCGATACATACGTAGACACTCAATGATCCAACTGCAAAGTTTTTTCAATTACAAGACTACAGGCCTAAGCACAATTGGATCATTGAGTCGTCTCTCCAAATATATTTTAAGGAGAAATCATATATTTTAATTACGATACATACGTAGGCACTCATCAATGATCCAACTGCAAAAAAAAATTTCAGTTACAAGACTACTGGCCTAAGCACAATTGGATCATTGAGACGTCTCTCCAAATACTCCCTCCTTCCCAAATTAATTATCATGTAATAGAATATAAAATTTTTCAAATTATTCATCATATAACTGCATGGACACAGATTTCATCGGAATACAATTAATGCAGCATGAGAGAATGTGTGCATGTTTTTTCAGTTATAAGACTATGGGCCTAAGCACAATTGGATCATTGAGACGTTTCTCCAAATACTCTCTCCTTCCTAAATTGATTATCATGTAATAGAATCCAAAATTTCTCAAATTGATCATCATATAACTGCATGGACACAGATTTCATCGGAATACAGATTTCATCGGAATACAATTATACAGCATGAGAGAATGTGTGCATGGAATACAATTAATGCAACATAAGAGCAAGTATAATAGTAGGCTATAAACCGGCTAAATGCTGAGGTGGAGGAGAAAAGAGAGGAGAGAGAGGAGAAGCGGGCTGTAAACTTACAGCCGGTTTGGACACAAGAACCAAGAAACTCTATGAGAGAGACAAGTGGGCCCTATATTAATTATAAAGAACTAACTATTATACGGTAGACTAAGAGAAGACTATAAAGAACCTTATAGCCAATAGGTCGGCTGTATTATTATCCTTGCTCTAAGAGAATGTGTGCATGTTAGGGTGTTAATCGAGGCATGCATTGCGGGAGATACAATTAATGCAGCATGAGAGAATGTGTGCATGCATTGTGGGAGATACAATTAATGCAGCATGAAAGAATGTGTGCATGTTAGGGTGTAATTGGCATAGGGTTTTAATCAAGGCATGCATTGTAGGAGAATGTGTGTATGGTGTCTTATTGATGTGATTTAAATTATCCTGGGTCCTTTTGTCTCTTTCAAAAAAAAAAATCCTTGGTCTTAGTGCATAAATATATATGATGATCAATTTGGGAATGATGGAGTATAGTTTAAGAAGAAATTATACTACTCCCTCCGGATTCATTTTAATTGACGTTTTGGACAATGGCACGGTCTACAAGATACATTTTTGACCTTATTTTTCTATTATAATATATATAATAAATAAATGCATGTTTACTTTTATTATAGTACTTTAAAAGATAAATCTATATATGTTGTTCCAGTTCCTTTAAACTAAATACTTTTAAAGTTATGATAGTCTAAGTTATAAAAGTTTGACATCAACTTTGTCCAAAAGGTCAATTAATATGGAACCGGAGGAAGTATATTTTAAGAACAAAATATGACCGTGTTAGGATTGAACACGGGACCTCGGAGTTTAAACCATACATCCCTTGCCACACTATGCATCTCAATGCTTGCCGTACAGGATGAAACTATACAAGTTTGTTGCATCTAAGCACTCCACAGACTATAGAATCTAAGAACTAGAACAGTACAAGTTGTTCTCCAAACAGATTTGTAACGCAGCAGCAGTAATCAACAAGTTCCTCTCTGAACATGATACAAACGCAGGACTCCAGAAGCCGTAATCGTCACCAAGGTGGAGACGCAAAAGAACCGATCCTTCCGCATGGACCACACCACCCAAACCTTTGGGCTGATCTAAATCAGGCACCGCCTTCCGCCGGCCATCTCCGATGACGCCGACGGACGGCGTCGTCGGCTTCTTATTGCTCCACCCAATCCCACTGATCCTGTCCATGCACGGGCAGATGCTCACGATGCCGCCATGCTCAGACGAGTCATCGTCAGTGCTGCACTCCAACGATGCCTTCTTGCTCCCGAGATCAGTCTCCAGGCATGGACAGGTCCTCTCGACGACGCCGAACTCAGCGCTCCGGTCGCGTCGCAGCAGCAATGTCGGGCACGCGAATGTGTCAACCAAGTCGGGGCCGAGGACCTGCACGCCGCCGTCGGCGACCCCAGGCACGAACGGCAGACGGCCGTGCTCCATCGATCGATCAGCTCGTATGACCTCTCTTGCTTCCTTCGATCGATGGGAACGGGATCGCGGGCAGGGCGAAACGTGCACTGGAGCACAAGCTGCTGGATCGGGGAGACGATCGAATCGAGACACTGGTGGAGAAACCCTTTGTAGTCCCGGTTCGTAACCCCCTTTAGTCCCGGTTTCCAAACCGGGAGTACCAATCCGGGACTAAAGATCGCTATCTTTAGTCCCGGGTGAAATAACCGGGAGTAAAGATCGATCTTTAGTCCCGGTTGGTAACACCAACCGGGACTAAAGATAGAGCTGACCTTTTTTTTTTGCATGCCCCTGTTGCTGCATGGTATATATATATATATATATATATATATATATATATATATATATATATATATATATATATATATATATAAACCATGCATATATATGTTTCAATACATATATATGCATACATATATATATATATGTATTTATACATATATATGTTATGCAAATGCATATGTATATAGATATATATATGAACAAAATATATTTACATTATAGAAAATGTGTACACATGCATATAGAAACATATGTAGTCATGTATTAATTACAATCCATTATATGTCCTAGCTAGCTACGATTTCGACGTAGTAGTACTCGCTGCTAGCTCAGAAGCTAAGGACCGGTGAATTGTGTTTCCGTCGTAGTAGAATTCACCCTTGGGATCAAGGATTTCTTCGTTGATGAATCCCATGAGTTGTTCTTGAACCGCCGCGATAAATTCCTTGTGTGTGGTCAGGTTATCCCTCATGCGAATAAACTATATGAATGTATGAAATTGATTAGTAATTAAACAAGAAATCGCTACGTAATGAAATTTTGAATTTATTTGTATGTACATCGAGCTCTCTTGTGGTGATGATTTGGTCTGCAAGGCAGTGGCAATACTCGCACACGTAATAGCCGCACAAGTTAGTTCCCTGCTTTTGCTTTGCGCACTACAAATAAATGACAAACAACGAGAGATCTAATTAATATACACTTGTATGTATTTGAATCGGAGAAATATAAATGTAGAGCATGTGTACTCACAGGAAATTTGAACTTCCGCCTAAGTCTTTCTCTCCATTTGCCGCGGACTAAATGACGGAACCGATACCAAGCCCTACATGGAGTTTAAAGCTATGATTCGTAGTAGCAATTAACATAACAAGATTTTCTTAATTAACAAAGGAACTTATGACGGTACCTGTCTATAAGTTCGAAAACCTTGTCAAACGTAGACTCTTTTTTATCCATTGAGTCATATACGTTGACGGTGCAGGCCTCCAGGTCGATGAGTAAAAGCACCCAGTGGAATCTGCAATGTGCGTGGGATGCATTACATATGAAACACTTAGCAAGTTCGTACGGGAATGAAATTTGGTATGTAGGAAGACAGTAAAATTAAACTAACTCTGTGTTGTATGGCAACAGTATGAACGTCTTGTAATGCTGCGCCTTCAGGAGATGGACGAGATTGTCCTCTGTTTCTTGTGGATATTGGTCGAGCATTGCGACGTTTACTTTCCGAGGGTCGATGAATCCAGTATCGAAAACCCTCCGCCGTCGGGCCCTTTGAATCTCCATTCTACAACGATAAAAGGGAGTATATTATTTTCTATGGTCTACTTATATACAAGGACCTAATTAATTAAAGGAGACGTATAGTAAGAAATCTAACTGAACGATATACTTACAAAATCCAGCAACTCATAATAGAGACGTCGAGGGCGTCCAGCTGGTATAGTTCGTAGATTCCCCTGAAATTGATCCAGAGAATGTCATCTCCTTGCAAGAAGTCCGTGTCCCTGATCCTCGCTCCGATCATCTCTCTACCGGTGGCGCTCATCTCCATGTACAGCTGATGGAACTTGTACATTTGTGTGGGTAGGGACTGCAGCAGCTCAGGCTTGACAAGCGGTTTACCGAGTTCGTACATGTATTTCACTTCCGCCTTTTCGATTGGTGCGACTCCTAGCAATTGATCCGTAGTTAGACCGGTGTCAGTAATAAATTGTTCTATCGTCATTTCTTTACCGGTCACCAACGGCTCGATCTCCTGGTTTGGTTGCTCTCCAAGCTGAGGGACTGGTTTGGACTTTCCAGAAGATGCTTTCTTCAGCGTTCGCTCATAGTCCGATAGCTTGATGGCCTCCTTGACAGATGCAGACATACCCCTGAAGAAGTTCCTGACACTGGGGTCTATAGGAATCTTCTTTTCTGGACTTCGAGGCTTGAATTGTCTCTTGACTTCTGATGCAACGTAAGCGTCAAGCTCCTCTTGCGTGCAATCGTACCCCGGGTCCTTGTTCTTGGCGGCGTCAACTTTCGCCTTCTTTGTTGCCCTTGTGTGGGCAAGCGGTGGAGCTGGGGGGGCCCTTGACTTTGAAGGTGCCGGAAGAGGAGCTTGCGGGGGAGTAGGTGTAGGAGCACGAGGAGGAGTCGGTGCAGGATCCTGAGGAGTCGATGCTGGAGCCTGAGGTGGAGACGGTGCTGGCGGAGCATGAGGAGGAGACGGTGCAGGATCCTGAGGAGATGGCGGAGCCGGAGGAGATGGTGCACGAGACGCCGCTTGTCGCCCAGGGAGGATGATGTACCGCCTGCGCCATAGAATAATGGCATGGCATGTGTCTCGTAGATGCGTCTCACCGTCTCCTCCAGGGTAATCCAGCTCGAGGTCCTCGTACGCGCCTTCGACCAACTCAACTTCGACCTTGG